AGGCGGACTCTCTCACCTACATAGTCGATTGTCATGAAGTGCCAGATCCTGAGGTAGAGAGATGCATCAGATATGGTCTCTGCTCTCTGGGGAATTTACAAAATCATCCAGGACATGTAGGGAGGGGAGGAGGGTGAGTCCTCCGTGTTTTACGTGGACACTGGGCCAGGTACCCCCTTCCACTCACCCTGCAAGGTAAGTAGACGCATGAAAACAGTTGTATTCATAGCCATAGCATTCGTGTCTCCACAGCCCTCTCTGCAAGGCAGCATGGGATGCATTCTGCTCCTTCTCACCTCCTCATGGATCAAGCCCCAGACCCAACATCACTCCCCACATCAGGTCTTGGCCACTGCTGCCCCGCAGATCCCCAGATTCCAGTCCTCCCTCCTTGTGCCCCATGGTGGCATGTTATCAGTGACAGTCTATGCTGTCCCAGCTGGGATGAGCTCCCTGTGGAGGGCAGGGCTTGCATCTGAGTTCCCTGTGCAGCCTCCGGCGCAGGGACAGCCATCCCCACCCCACTCCAAGGTGAGCAGTAAATCCTCATTGGCTGGCTACTGGCGAAGTGGTAAGTGGGTGAAGGAATGTGTCCAATGAAAGTGCTGCTGGTTTATTACAAAGCAGCTGGGACAAGTGCTCAGAACCCATCACAAAAGACATCAGGGTGGCCTGGGAGGGAAACGAGGCGACCAGCCAAATGCAAACCGGGCAGGGGTCAAGGTCAGCCTCTCCTTTCTCTGGGCGTTTGGGAAGAACAGGAAGTGGAGTCCGGGCAGCTGTTTCTGATGAAAATAGATGTTCTTCGGGCTTGAATGTGGGGCATGGGGAGGGGGCAGGGAAAGGAGGAAGGGGCGGGGGAGAGGCTCCCCGCAGAATGGAATATCCAGAGGCCCCCTTCACCTAAGTCTGCCGTTCGTTACGGCAGTTTCCAAGCACATGCTGACGTAAGAAGAAGAACACAAGGAACCCCTGTGCCCGTCACCAGCTTCAACAACGTCCCCACGTTGCCGTTCTCATTTCACTCTCCCCTCGAGCACCTTGTTAAAGAATTCCAGATGTTTTATCATTTTACTTATAAATACTTCCAAATGTGTCTCTCGTATGTTACAACATCAAGAAAAACCTCCATATTGTTATCACACCCTAATAAAATTAACTATTTCTGGAATCCCAAATGAATAAAGTCCATGTTCAAATAGTCTCATTTTCCTAAAAAAAAAAAATTTTTTAATGTCTTTTCAGGATCCGTTCATTTAACCAGGACCTAAACAAGGTCCATCAATTGTATTTTGTTGTCATGATCCTCAATCTCGCAACTCTCCTTTAGTCCCTCTCCTCCTTTTTTAATAAATATATTTTATTGATTTTTTAACAGAGAGGGAGAGAGAGAGTTAGAAACATCCATCAGCTTCACGCCCCCCACTGGGGATGTGCCCACAGCCAAGATACATGCCCTTGCCTAGAATCAAACCCTGGATCTTTCAGTCCGCAGGCCGACGTTCTATCCAAACCAGTTTTGGTCCTCTCTCCTTTTTTTATGCCCTTTTACTTGTTGAAGAAATGAGGTCCTTTGCCCTCACTGTTGGCTGGTGGATTGCACCCTCATGGTGTCACTCGGCATGTTCCACTGCTCCCCCCATTTCCAGAAAATGGGGATTTCGACCCAGAGAGCTGCTCTGTGAAGGGTCGGTTATTTTGACAAACAGACTTCCTGGGTGGTACTGGGCCCTCCCTATTGCATCTACCGGGAGCACTTAAAGCAGTTAAATCCTTTTGGAGTTGTACTAAGAATGACCAGTGCCACCAGCCTGGTCTCTGGAGCTGCCTGGCCTCTCCCTCGCAGATGTTAGCGCCTTTTGCGGTACCTGGAAGCACTCGCAGACCTGGAGAGGCCTGAGAAACCCTCTCACTGGTTTTCTCCTCATCCACAGGATTGTGGAGCATCGCCCTCTGCCAGGCAGCGAGCTGCAGGGAACAGAACCCACACGTCTCCTGGAACCACGGAGCCCCCGGTCAGAGCGAGCAGACAACCACCACGTGAGCAAGCAGAGGCCCCAGAGCCTCGTCTGCGAGGGTGAGAGCTCTGCAGAGCGCCTCCGTCAGCGAGGTGGCCACTGTGCCATGGCGGCCAGGGGGAGCCCCTAGGAGAGGACACGGGAGCCTGATCCAGCCACACTGAGATGGGGCGCACTCCAGGGAGAGAGCCTGGGCCCCCACCAGGAGAAACGGGGGTGGGAGCAGGGTGCCATGCCTGTGACGTGGGGAGCCCAGCAAGAAGGCTTCTGTGCTGGTGGGACTGACAGTGGCTGGGACCTGGGTGGCGGAGAGGAGAGGGAGGCCAGTCCAGCACCCCTTTCTCCCCCTTTTACAGCCCAGAATGCTCAGCTCAGAGAGGACAGGGAGATGGTGCTTAAGACGCTGCCCGCACCGGGAGCTTCCTGTGCAGCCTACAGAGACCACACCACACGCCAGGCACAAGTCACGGCGCCTGTGTTACAGGGCTGTGGACCGGAGGCTGGCCTCAAGAGGCTCCTGACCTCCAGAGCCGCCCCACACTGCCATGACCCCGGCAGGGCCAGGGCACCCAAATCTTGGCTCTGGCACCCATAAGCCCTGTAACTTATAATAGACTAAGGAAGGGCCTGCTTCCTCTCTGTGCCTCAGTTTCCTAACCTGCAAAATGGGAGTGATATGTGCCCCAGGGGCACAGCAAGGCCAAGGTGGGGTAGCTCAACCTTGCCCCTTCTCCCAGGCCCGGCCCTCGGGCCCAGCGGGCCACCTTAGTGCAGAGCACAGGCAGCTGCGTGCTCTCCCATCCAGACACACACAGGGTTAAGCCCAGCCTCTGTCCTCCATCCCAGTTCCGGTCCTTGCTGACTCTGCTCCCCCTCCCACAGCTATTTTGGGACAATGGAGGCAGCAGATGGCCTGTTCCCTCCCCTCGACCCTCAGAATTTGGGAACAGCCGGCAAGTCTTACGCTGCTTCTAAAAGCGGGGCGGCAGGCAGCCTTCCACGTGCAGCGCAGAGAGGACCGCGGACCGGACCGCGGCTCTGGAGCACACACCACCCGCACCGGGCTGCAGGCCCGAGGCCACTCCTCCCGGCTCACATCCCACAGACACAGCCCCCCGGGGGGGAGAGGGGGGAGGCTTGGGAGAGCCCAGCTCTCTGGCTCAGCATCTGGCCTGCTGTGTGGCCCCAAGCGCACAGTGGTCCCTCGTTGGGGCTCAGGTTCCCGCTGGAGAATAGTGTTGAGGCTCTGGGGGAGCAGCAGGGACCAGTCCTTCAAGGGCTGGAGGGTGTGTCCACAGGAGCCCCACCCCTTAGGCTCTCTCCTCCCCAGCTCAGAGCCCCACTGGGTCCCTGACTCCCCACATCCCTGGGCGTGATGGGTGGGGAGAAGAGACCTCCCATCCATTGCCCTCCCCAGCCGTGCACGACTGGCCAAAATCTCCCACAACCCCTTCATTCATCCATCCAGGCTCTCGGGGACCTGACATTCTCAGGGCACCTGCATTTATTCAGCTCCCACCTTGGCTGTCACACACCCCTCCCTCCGCTTTATCCGACACCAGAGGCTGAACCCTCCAGCTCCGAGTCTCCACTCTGACTCCCTGGCCTCCCCCCGCCCAGGCCTGAGAGCAGAGAGAAGGAGGAGTAGCTCCCGCATACCAGCACCTCATGGCACACACATATTCACACACGTGTACATGCACACACATGTGATAGAGGCACAAACTCATACATGCCTCACACGCAAAGCTTAGCACGGACATGTGTGGAAGAGTACATGCCACACACACACCCCTTGCCACACCATGACTCACACACGCTGAGCCAGGTGCCTCCCGTGAGCCAGGCTCTGTGCCATGCCCCACAACGCATCCTTCCGTCCAGACATCAGACGGGTGGAAGGCATTCTCTTCCTCGTCTCTTAGAGCAGGACCATCTGGGCAAACGGGCCAGAGAGACCTAGCGGATTCCCCAAGGCCACAGCGAGGCCGAGCAAGGATGGAGATAGCTCAGGTCCCAGTTCAACGCCACTGTGACCGGCAGAACAGAGACCCGGCCCCGCCAGGGACCCTTGAGCCACGGGGAACAAAACACTGGGCCGGGAGAGCTGTGAACAAACAGGGGTTTAATTTTCCAACAGAACCAGCTAGACAAGACAGGTGTGGAAGGCTGTCCTGGCCTCTGCTTCATGGCTGCAAACGGGCTGCCCAGAGCCAGACATCACGCCCACATTCCCAGCAGGAAGAGGGCGTGCAGGGCTGCACCACTTCCTCGGAGGCCTCCCCCGTGGCTTTGCTCAGTTCACACACAGGAGCAGAGCTTCCACAGGTTAATGGAAGCGCCTCACAGCTCGGGGAGCTGAGAGAGGGAGCAATGGGCTCATCCAGCTTGGCTGGGACCCAGGAGGATCCAGCATCGGATCAGGCAGGCCGATGCTCCAAACAAAACTGGGGTCTGTTTGCAGGGGGCGGGAGCACGGAGCTGGAGACTGCCGGCACCAGCAGCACCTGCTGCAGACCTTGCACCGGCCACCTTTCCTCCTGGCGCCCGGTGGTGGCGGATCAGGCCCCGGGATCCAGGCGTGAGGGGCGGGCCTGGGGCTTGTCCCCAGGGAGTGACTGAGAGACCGGAGCTGGGGCTGGGGCCACAGCCCACCCAGAAGCCCAAGTCATTTTGTTGAGGTTTAAGACTCTGAGCCCCAGGCCAACTCAGTGGCCCTCACCCTGTTCAATGCAGCCACTCAGAGCCCGTGGGAGCCCAGCCCCGGGGCCTCTCTGACTTCCCCCGGTTCCCGGGCCAGCCGACCACCTCTCCGGAGCCCTGCCACCAGTCACCATCCAATCCTGGGCTTGCCCACCTCTCGGGAGCCCTGCCAGGGGCTACCCTCCCCAGGGCACTTGCCGCCGCAGGCCCTCAGGGCCGCCTTGGGAGGCGAGGGACAGCCAGAGGCCTCGGCTCAGCCGTCGCCCGGCAGTGCAGGGGTCATCGGGCCACCAGCTGTGGGCACCAGGGCGTGTCAGGGTAGAGGAGGCAATGCAGGGAGCGGAACCTACGGAGAGACCGGAAATGGACAAGCGTCACCCCACTCCGACCCTTACCCCACGGGCTCCGAGGGTTCAGAGCGGGGTTTCTCCCCCTCGGCACCATTCCCATTTGGGATGCGAATTCTTCGCTGTGGGGCTGTCCCGTCCGTTGTAGGATGTTTAGCAGCATCCCCTGGACGCTGCCCACTGGAGGTCGTGAGCATCTCCCTAAGTCGTAGCATTCCAACGTGTCTCCAGACATCGCCACGTGTCCTCAGGGGCCAACGGCCCCCGGCTGGGAACCGCTGGCTTAGGGACACCTCCGAGGCCAGACACCAGAGGCCTCCTCCGCGGACCTGGGACCTTCTCACCCTGCATAGCCCAGTCGGCTCCAGCCCCATTAGGCAGAAATTCGTGGACACGAGACTCTTCGGGCTTAGAGAATGTGACAGCAATTATTAAACCTCCTGGCAGTGTAGCCACAGTCTGCACACCTCCGCTAATGGGGAGCTCGCCCCATTAGAGGGAACCCCTTGTCCCCCAGCCCCAGGGATAGTCATGTCTCACGCCCCCCACCAGACAGCTGTGCAGAACTCCAGGGCCAGGAGGCCTGGTCCCCCCACGGGTTACAGACTTCAGATAAATCCAAGGACCCAAGGCCTTGCAGGGAGAGGAATTGGCACCACCCTCCTCTCTTGTCCCACATTCGTGTCCCACTGTCTCCCTCTGCCTCCTGGAGCAGGTCTCCCTCCTGCCGCCGTGTGTCCCAGGCTGTGCTCTGAGCTGCTCCCTAGCTGAGCAGCCCCCATCAATCTGGGGCCAGGGTAGGGGCAGAACCGGAAGGTGCCCGGGTGACATCTTAGCCCCCATTCCGATCATCTACCCACAGAAAAGAGCCACTGAAGGGAATGAAGGAAACAAAGAGCTGACAAAGATCAGTAACTCCCCATAGGTGCCTGCAGGTCCCCCATGGGAGCAGGTCCTTGCTCAGCAAAGACATTTCCATATTCCAGGGGACCGGGGCTGGGAGAGCCTCCAGACCCACCGCACCCAGCCTCCTGGGGTTATCAGGAGGTTTAATAATTGCTGTCAAATTCTCTAATGGGGAGATTATGGCCCAGAGAGGGCAAGGCACTTGCCCAAGATCACACAGCAAGCCAGTGGTGGAGCAGGGACGAACATCATGCCCTTCACTCCCCGCTCTGTGCTGTCAGCCCAAGGGCCTCTCTCACACCCCTCCCTCTGGCTCGCCCACCCATGGGTGCCTGGGCTCAGCCCCCAGTCGCCCCGTTGGACAGTGTCAGCCCCAGACCCACCTGGAGGGGTCCTCCTCGGGGGAGAACGGGCCCTGCAGCCTAATGACGTTGAGCTTCCCCTCGAAGACGCCGTAGCTGAGGGTGACCTGGGCAGGGAGAAGCGGGGAAGAGGGGGGAGGGTTGAGGGGTGTTCCACTGGGAACCCCACAAGAGGGCAGAACTGGGGGGAAGCAGGAAGGCACACAAGGCATTTGGAGGGCACAGAGAGGAGCCTGCCTCTGCGCCTGAAACCCCATTAGCGGAGGGTGTGTGTCCCTGAGGAGCCCCCCTATCCCTCCTGCCCGCCCCCACCACCACCACCCTCCGGCCAAGCACTCTAAGTGTGAAGCGCACCTTCAGGCCCAAATCCCATCACAGCCCCAACAGTCAGCTTACTAAGAGGCTGCAATGATTCCCGCATCTACAGGTTGGGAAACTGAGGCCCAAGAGGGAAGGCACCTTCCCAGTGTGCTGTGTGCCTGGTGGAGGTTCTGGGCTCACTGTGGAGCCCCAGCAGACGCCCCTCCACACCCCAGAGCCTCAGGATCTCCGCAAGCAGCAGGGACTTGGGACAACGACCCCAGTCCAAGGCTGTCAAGGCCAGGGGCCATCGGCTGTCTGCGTAGGGGCCACCCAACCAGGACTCCAGTCCCCCTCTGCCACGCACTAACGTGGCCATGGTTAGTTCCACTCTCCAGGCCTCAGTCTCTCCATCTGTGGAATGGAAGTGTGAGCGCCACCCGCATGTGCATGTTGTGAGGAAGCAGGGAGTGAAAGAAGATAAGGCCCCAGCGTGGTGCCCGGCACAGCGAGTGCTCTGGAAACCCCCTTAGGGTGCCCTGGTTACCCCATTAGGGTGTCCTGGTTCTGGTTGCCCCAAATCTGGCTCCCTTTCCTGGCTTCAGGCCCCGAGATCCTAATGGGACCAACCTCACACCCAGTTCCAGGCCTAGGACCCACACTAACTCTGGGTGCTGACAAGAGTCGGGTCACATGACCCAAGAGGGCCACCTGACCAGAGAGCGCAGCCTTGGGATCTGGCGGAAGGAGGCACTCCCCGCCTCCGGGTGAGAGAAACCTGGGGCTGCCAACAGGCCAGCACAGGGGCTAGCCTGCCTGAGCACCAGCCGGCATCGGGGAGGCAGATGAACAAGGGGACAGACTCCTAGAGCCAGGCCCAGCCAGGCCCAGCCATCAAGCCAAGCCCTCTGCTTCTCAGGTGCGCGGGCCCATAACCGTCCCGCTGTTGATCCAGTCCCCGTTGCTTTGCTATCACTTGTGCCGAAAGGGCTGGGCCTCGCGCTGCTGGGCGGAAGATCCCAGGGCCCCCCGCTGGGACCGCCAACAGGACTGGGACCTCTGAGCTGGAGAAGAGCACCCACCAGGCAGAGCCAGTGGGACCTCAGGAGTCATGACCCCTCCCCGAGCCTGACTTCATGCTCAGCGTCCTCACGGAAGATGGGTCCTTCCCAGTAATGTCTGGGTTCAAAGGAAACGCAGCAAGCAGTGGACAGGTAAGCTCTGGCGAAGGAAGGGACTCTACAAAGGGCACAGCTGGAAGGGCAGGCCGGTCCCCTCATCCCTCCGAGGAGAGGACGGCAGATTGAAGAAAGGAGAGAGGGACAGGAGGCAGCGGGTTGGAGCAAGGCCGTCTGAACCCGAAGACAAGCTTCGTCTCATCTGGGCGTGTCCTTCCGGCCGGCACGTGGGGACCAGTTCAGAGACCAGTCACATCACAACCCTCGAGGTCTGAAGGTGGAAAGCCACTGGATGCCCTTACGGGGTCCCCTACCACCCGGGACTCAGTTTCCCTGTCAATATGGGAGAGCCCCGAACGTGAGCACCTCCCCCTCGGCCGTGAGCCCTGAGCGCTCACCTGCTCCGGGAGCTGGGCAGCCCCCAGCAGCTGCAGCGTCTCCAGGTGGGAGTGGAAGAGGGGGCTGGGCTGCAGGCGGGCCCCCAGCTTGCACTCGATGATGTAGCCCACGGTGCAGTCATCAGGGAGCCGGATGAGCGCGGACGTGTCCACGAAGCGGGGGCCGCTGAGGGGCAGAGCCGTGCTGTGGCCACTGGCCTGGACCCTCAACACCCGGAGCCCTCCCTGCCGCCCAGAAGGCTCTCCTGGGGCCAACTGTCCCTTAAGACCTTCCTGCTGCCAAGGCCAAGTGCATACACACACCAAGCGCCACCTGCACTCAGCAACCCCCACCCTCCCCACCCACCTGGGGGTCTCCGCTTACCTGGCCCAGGGGGCCATCTTCAGAGCCAGTTTCCGGTTGATGCAGAAGCCAGCACCCCCAGTGGCAAACCAGAACTGGACCAGCCTCTAGGGGGAGAGGAGGGGAGTGAGCGGGGGGGTGAGGGGGGGGGGGGACAGGGGCAACAGCCAGGCCACCCCTCACCACCACCTAGCATGGCTCCAAAGCTTTTTAATTCACACTTCACTGGAGTCTCACTACAGCCTAACGTTATTTTTTTTTTTAATATATTTTATTGATTTTTTACAGAGAGGAAGGGAGAGAGCTAGAGAGCCAGAAACGTCGATGAGAGAGAAACATTGACCAGCTGCCTCCTGCACATCCCCTACCGGGGATGTGCCAGCAACAATGTACATGCCCTTGACCGGAATCGAACCCGGGACCCCTCAGTCCGCAGACCGACACTCTACCGCTGAGCCAAACCGGCTTTGGCTAACATTATTATGCACTTTTTATAGATAAGAAAACTGAGGCCCTTGCCGAAACCGGGTTGGCTCAGTGGATAGTGTCGGCCTGCGAACTGAAAGGTCCCAGGTTTGATTCCGGTCAAGGCCATGTACCTTGGTTGTGGGCACATCCCCAGGGGAGGTTGTGCAAGAGGCAGCTGATCGATGTTTCTCTCTCATCGATGTTTCTAGATTTCTATCCCTCTCTCTTCCTCTCTATAAAAACTCAATAAAATATATATTTTTTAAAAGATTGACTGAAAGCAAGAAAAAAGAAAATAGAAAACTGAGGCCCAACGTCACCTAGCTAGCTAATCAAGGGTCTAACCCAGTGGTCGGCAAGCTCATTAGTCCACAGAGCCAAATATCAACAGCACGACGATTGAAATGTCTTTTGAGAGCCAAAGTTTTTAAACTGAAACTTCTTCTAACGCCACTTCTTCAAAATAGACTCGCCCAGGCCGTGGTATTTTGTGGAAGAGCCACACTCAAGGGGCCAAAGAGCCGCATGTGGCTCGCGAGCCGCAGTTTGCCGACCACGGGTCTAACCAATTAGACCAGTTCATTGGTTGACTTCCAGTTAAAAAGGGCAGGTGTGCTATCTGTGTGCCCTGCACACCTTCCCCGCCACCCCCCCCCCAGAAATGTCTCTACCTTACCCCTGTGGTTTGAGAGGGGCTACCGAACACAGCACCTGCTCCCCCAGGCCACAGAGGTGGGCAGGAAAGCCCACAGGGCCAGGTGATTGGCTCAGCAACAGGCACATCACTTAAGACCCAACCAATCAGAATCCTTCCCCGAGCTCTCTATGCAACTGTGAGGAAGACATGTTTTCACCAGGCCTGCAAACTATAATCCCGATGCCACCTACAGGGACACATGCACTGACAGCTCTTGCCACTCCTGTCTCCTGGGACCAAGAACACTTTTCCACAAAAGGAGAGAATGAGACCTCTCACTGAGTAAAGAGAACCAGCAGGCCTGTGAGCCTGAGGCCAGAAACCCCTTGACATCTCAACATCCCTTTGGGATTTAAACCACTTTCCGCCCCTGCCCAGCTCCCCTGCAAGGCCCTGTGAATTCACCCTGGAATTTCTCTAAGGCTTTTGAGGAACACCGGGCCCTCTGAGCTGTACCATCTCTTAGTCAAGCAAATTCCCCAAGGTTACCTCCTCCCACGTGCACAGCTGTTGCCTCATGGATGCATGTTGCATTGGGTTGCATCTCCCATGATGCAGCAGTGAGAAGAGGCCTCTGAGGGAGTTGGGGAGCCCGATACTGGGTTCCCTGCTTCCCCCACTTTAAGAAAGTCACTGCCCCCTCTGGGCCTGATTTTTCACCTGTGCGCGCAACGCTGGCTCTAAATTCTAAAATCCGATGGTCCCCTGGCCCGGAGCATCCTCCTGAAAACCTCTCTGAGCTGACTCTGGAGACGCTGCCCTCCTGGAGGGAGGTCAGGGCTCAACAGGACAGGATGAATGGCTTCTTAAGGACCTAAGTCACAGGAGGTGCCCGATAAGTGCTTGTTTGATGCATTGATGATAATTACAGTAACACCAGCAGTAACCATGCAACCACCGCACCCTGAGCACCTGCTGTGCCGGGGGCTGTGCTACAGATGAGGTGTCCAAGATGCACAGAAGTGAGGACACTTGCTTGAGGTCCCAGAGCTGGGACTAACCCCAAAGCCAGAGATTTTGTCCTTTATTCTGTCCCACACATGCTAGTCCCAGGCTCTGAACAGGCTAGGAAATGTGCCAAGGAGGGCATTCGTGACTGGGCCTGGGTGTGCCCAGCAGGGTGCTGAACCCGCTCAGAGGTGAAGGCTGAGTGGGGTACAGGTGGCTAACACTTACTAGTGTCTATCAAATACCATTCCTAGCGCTCGCTTGAATAGATGCAACTTCATATTCTCTCTCTCTCTCTCTCTCTCTCTCTCTCTCTCTCTCTCTCTCTCAACCACCCTATGAGGAAGAGACTATTACCACCATTTCACAGATGAGAAAACTGAGGCACAGAGAGGTAAGGTGACTTCAATCAAGGTCATGAAGCCCAGAGGTGGCAGGGCTGGTGTGTGAACCCAGGGAGTCTGGCTCCAGAGCAGAGCTCTCCCCCTCTGAGGGCAGGGTGAGGTGGTGTGGGAGCCTGGAGGACCTCAATTCACCTGAAATCGACTCACACTCACACACACACACACACACACACACACACACACACACACACACCCCGGGGCCCCGGAGGGTTTAATTAGGACTCAGAGGCTGATGAGCTGCTGATAATTAAGGTTTTGTGTGTCTCGCTCTCCTGGTTTCTCTAACGAGGCAGATGGTGGCCGGGAGGGAGGAGACAGTCCTGTGCGGGCCCAGCGCCTGCCACAGACGCTGCCTCCGGAGAAGCAGCCACTTGCCTCTTCCTGGGGCCGAGGGAGCCCTGAGGCCCGGGCCCCCCACACTGAACCCCTGAGTGGCATTCTGGGGGCAGGTGGGAATGCATGCAACATACCTAAGGTGACCAGGCATCCCGCTTTTGGTGGGACAGTCCCGACTTTTAACAATTTGTCCTGCATCCTGCAGTGTTTTAAAAAAGTCCCAATTTTTTAAAAGAAATTTTTTGAGGCCTGAGCGGTGAGCCAGCCGGCCCGGCATTGTTTGCACTTTAACAGCCTGTGCAACCACACGGCACACCAGGCGGCTAGGAGGCCAGCTCATCCCCGGGCTCGCTGTGTGACCAGGACCAGCCACCGCTCCCCCGTGACCGAGGCCCGACCCTGTGAGTCTCTCCACTTTCCTGGCAGGATCGCAGTCTCCCCATTCCACAGAGGGCCAGAGGTAAAGCCAGCGCGAGACCCAGAAAACCCGCCGCCTCGCCCGCAGCCCGGCCCGCAGCCCGGCCCCGCCCCGAACCCCACGGCCCAGGTGGCCAGGCCCGAAGGTGCCAGGGAGGGACCCACCGTGCGGTTGTGGGGCTGCGGCTCCGAAGCGTGGATGGGCCGGTTCAGGCTGGGCCGGCCCACGTAGACGTCCAGAGTCTGCGGGAAGGCCTTCAGCAGCTTCAGCAGCGCCCTGGCGTTGACGTAGTTGTCATCATCCACGTGGCAGAACCACCTGAGGGGATGGGAGGGGGACAGTGAGCTTGGAGGGGGCTCCCCAAGGACTGCCAGCCGCTGTGCCCCCATAATCTATAACAATAAAAGCATGATATGCAAATCGACCGAACGGCCAGACAGCGGAACAACTGTCCGGATGACCACTGGCGCCCACTGGCACCAGGCCAGCAAGACGGGTGCAATGTGACTGGTCGGGACCCAGCCATCACCCCAGAGAGGGAGGCCACTGACCAGCGGGCTGCAGCGGGTGGGCGGGGCCTCCCTCACGGAGCCCCGGCCGGTGGGTAGGGCCTACCTCTTTGGGCTGGGGTGGATCACAGAGCCCCATGATTGGTCGCCCCAAAGAGGGAGGCCCAGTCTACCCTGCGGTGGAACTGCGTTGGGTGGGCAGGGGCTCCCTCTGTGGGGGGACCAATCACAGGGCTCCTGGACTGTGAGAGAGCACAGGCCGGGCTGAGGGACACCACCATCTCCCTTCCCCCCTCGTGCACAAATGTTGTGCACCAGGCCTCTAGTCAATCAATAAAGAGTTACGGGTGGGGGTGGCTCTGTGCCAGGCAGCATCTGTGTAGGCTCTCGAAGAAGGTGTGCCCATGTGACCAGTGGGCACTAAGACTCAGAAAGGTTAAGACACTTGCCCCAGGTCACACAGCCAGTGAGTGGCAGGATTTGAACCTTGACAGTCTGCCCAGAGACCTACCACAGGAGGCCTTCCATGATGAATTTCACTGTTTTAGCACCACACCGCGTTCAGGAAGTGGCCTCAGGCGAAGGTTACGCCTGCCCTCAGAGACCCAGATGCACCCACCTCAGTCCACTGGCCAAGAAGGCATCCAGCTCAGCAGCCATCTTGCAGGACAGGGCTGGGTGGCTGTGCTCCGCAGAGCAGTTGGTGACCACTAGGTGGAGCCCTGGAGCAGGGAGGACAAGTGTGAGGCCCCTGCCCACCTCCTCCCCACAGCTCTGCACACAGGCTCCTCCTCCCCACAGCTCTGCACACAGGCTCCTCCTCCTCACAGCTCTGCACACAGGCTCCTCCTCCTCACAGCTCTGCACACAGGCTCCGTGACAGGGCAGAGCAAGGCCAGTCCACCACTCCCATTTCCACACGGGGAAACTGAGGCCTGGGAGGGCTGACCTGCCCAGAACTCCACAGCTGCTGGGCATGTCCGGCACAGCCCCTCCCACACCCACACCCACTTCCAGGGAAGAAGCCCTGGGGCAAAGGGGAATCCCCACATGCCAAGAGCAGGCAGCCCTGGTTTCCAGGGACTCCCAGGCCCGGGCACAGCCACCCCGAGGCCAGGCAGTTACCCAGTCTCTCCTGGAGGCCTGCATCCTGGCCGTCAGTGAAGACAAACGTCTAGGAAGAAGAGAGAGAAGTCAGGATGGGGTAGTGGGAGGCGGGGAGGGTGCCTGCAGCCCGACGGCCACCCGTCCAGGTAGACGCACACACAGACCTCTCTGCTCCGTCAGGGAGGGGCACACCCTGGGCCTGTCACACTGTCCTAGGACAGCCTGACTTTCCCAGCTGCACCCCCACGCCACACACACACACACACACACACACACACACACACACGCACACGCACACACACACACACACACACACACGCACACACACACACACATACACACACACGCCACACACACACACACACGCACACACACATACACACACACACGCACACACACACACACGCCACACACACACACACGCGCACACACACACACACACACACATACACACACACACGCACACACACACACACGCACACACACACACACGCACACACACACACACACACGCACACACACACACACACGCACACGCACACACACACACACACACACACACGCACACGCACACACACACACACACACATACACACACACACAAAACTGTGGGGGCTAAAAACCAGTCACACGTTTCCTCCCACCTTCTCAGTCCTTCTAGCTGAGCGAACAATCAAACTACCAGAGAGAGAACCATAGGAGAAAACCACAGTTTTAACACGTGTGCAGGGGGCATCCACACAAGCATACACGTTCCAAACACAGTGGGGGAACGTTGGGTGAGAAGACATCTCGGCTGAAGGAGAAAGGGGGAGGAATTGGATTTCAGAAGCGAGGACGGGCCGTTTGCAGGTCGTTAAGGAAGAGCAGAGCACACCTGGCAGGAAACAGGAGGGGCCGGCTAACGGTGAAGGTGAAGATTCCTAAGGTGATTGATTGTGCAAAGCTCCCCTCCGAAGGCAGGCAGGAGGGGGGCGGGGCCAAGCCCCTTGGGGTCTGTTCCTTCATAAACAGCTTCACATCCAGGCCCCAAAGAGCAGCCACGAGGCGACACGGCTTTGGTTCCCCCCCACAAGCCTTTTGTAGACACACACCTTCCCTGTGTGCCCCAACCCCTCCGTCTCACTCCCTCGGCCCCCTCACGGACCAGCACCACAGGGACCCTGTCAGTCACACACAGAACACAACAGAGTCCCCCCTGGCTCCTTCCCAGTCACACATACACATCCCTAAACATGTCAGGAGACAGGCTGTGTGAAAAGACCCCCAAGCTGGGCGACGGCATCACTCAGGGAGCAGCCGTGGCTTTCACAGCCACGAAAAAACCCCTGTGTGAGTGTGGGGGCCGCTCGCATCTCAGAGACCCTGCATCCCGCCCCCCTGCAGCTCTCCAGGTGGAAGCCCCCCCCCCCGAGGCTTTCCCGAATAAACATGAGACAGGCGCTCCGTCTGTCCCCTCACAGATGGCAAAACGGAGCCGAAGTGACGGACCGAGGCTGTGGCAGCTGGCAAGGGGAGCCGGGATTCAAACCCACAGGCCCAGGACCACTTCTTGACTCTCAGGCCCACGGCTACCTGGGAAGGCACCCAGACCCAGGTCTGTACTTTCTCCTGGTCTCCCCATCCTTCTGAGTTCAACACCATGGGGTCACTATGCCTCCTCTCTTTCTCTCACCTCCCTCCTTCCCCTAATCCAGTCTGTCAGCTAACCTTTAACCTTTTTTTTTTTTAATATATTTTATTGATTTTTCTTTTTTTTTTTTTTTACAGAGAGGAAAGGAGAGGGATAGAGAGCTAGAAACATCCATGAGAGAGAAACATCGATCAGCTGCCTCTTGCCCACTCCCTACTGGGGAGGTGCCCAAAATCAAGGTACATACCCTTGACCAGAATCGAACCTGGGACCTTTCAGTCCGCCGGCCGACGCTCTATCCACTGAACCAATCCAGTCTGTCAGCTAACCTTTAACCTTTAAATGGCCCAACACATAATTTCTCCCCACAGCCTCACAGCCCAGGCCTCACTGTGGTCCAGCCTGCCCTCCCTATCACCTCCTGCCTGCTTTCCCAGTCACCTTTCCCCCGGGCTCACTGCTCAGTCCTGCCCCCACCCATGTCAACACAGCCCCCGAGGGAGCCAGCAAGGCAGCCAGGCCGGCCCCTGCTCCCTGGCCAACCTCTGCCGCCAGATAGTGGAACTCCTCTAGTTTGGAGCCAGAGCCAAATGGGCCAGGGAATGTTTGTGGATGGGCGAGTAAGCGGGAATGAATGGGGGAGGGGGAGGGGGCGGGAAAGGGGAGGGGAGGGGTCCCACAGCAGGGCCTGGGGGCTGGGCAGGGGCATGGGAATCCTGAGGGTGGCACAGGGCAGCGGGCAGTGTCCTTTAAGCAAGCGCTGCATTTGTTTAAAGAGGAGACCCTGACAAAGGCTAAAATCTCACGGGAAAACAAAGGGACAGGCAGCCTGCTGGGGGGAGGGGAGGGGAGAGAAAGGGAGGGGTAGCTGGAGGGCCATCTGCTCCAGAGGAGGGAAGTGAGGGGCCCCGCGGCTACCCACCCCTCCCCCCCAGCCCCGCCCCAGCCCTGGAGGGGACTGTGGGGAAGAGAAAGGCTCCTCTTGGGTCACAAAACGCGCCTCCCCCAGCCCACCCCTCCCGCCTGGGACAAAGGCCGCACACGAGCCCCAGCCCCGGCCACAAAGGCCCACCTGCCACCCGCCGCCCTTAACCAGCTGGGGTGGGCGCCCAGCCTGGAGTTAACCAGCTCAGGCAGCTCCCGATGGCAGAGCTGGGAGAGGTGCCGAGGCATTCCTGTCCTGCGCAGATGGGGAAACTGAGGGCTGAGAGCTGGAGGGCCTGGGCCAAGGTCACAGAGAGAGGAGCCAAGGTCACAGAGAGAGGGTCTGGCCCCCCTCCTCCTTCCTCTTTTCACCTCCACCCCACCTGCCCTGGAAGACACGATTCGAGACTCCGCCCCTGCACTGGGAGGGGGGGGGGAGCCCTGAGAGCGGGAGTTCACTGAGAGAATTCACCTCCCGACCCTGCCTCACTGGCTCCCCCCCCCCCCCCCCGGCCTGTGAAATGGGAATATCTCCTCTCGCCCCTTCCGTTCCTCTGGCCGGTCCAGTCACTCAGACAGCACGCGAACAGGAGAAAATCACATTGCAATGCCTGCACACAGGGAATTCACATAGGCACGGAAATTCCCGAAATAGGGATGCTTCTGGACCAGAGGGGGAGGCAGGGATTCACAGGTAGATGAGGAGGAGCAGGCGTGGGCTAGATTCTGGCAGGGCCTCCAGAAATAACGGACACGACGACGAGGAACGTAGGGGAAGGGGCATCGGGAGACGAGATCTTCGCCTGCGTCCTCCCTGCCCCCTGCCCGTCCCACTCATTCCCGCCGAGCGGCTGTGCTGAGGCTCCTGCCTGGACCAGCTGTCCTCTCCCCGTCTCTTTAGGCGCCAAAGGCACGGATCTGAGCCTCTTCCTGGGTACATTTCAGCTCCAAAGCCTCTGCGTGCCAAGGGGGCACATTGTGGGGACAGTAGAAGGTGCCACCAACCCCGTCATGGCTACCCCATGGGGCTGTTGGGAGGGTTAGACTGAGGGATGCTCTGACGCTCAGTCCATAGATGCTGAGCCGGTTCTCTCCTGGCTGCCAGGGTGGCATCTGGGGTTGAACTGGGGACACAGAGGGGCTGGCTGCTTGCCTCTCCTCTCCCGGCTGGAGGCCCAGGACCCTTTCCTATAGCCAGTGACCAGGCAGCTGGATCCCGGCCAAGAGGTGGGGGCTGGTCCCACGGGCTCTGTCCCCTCAGGCCTTCGGGGTGACACACAGGCAAGTACGCACTTCCTCCCCTGGGCCTCAGTTTCCTTGTCCGGGGAAGGGCACCAGCACGGGGATCCAGACAAGACAGGAAGGGGCCTCAGACCACGTGGGGCCACGCTCCCGGCACACACAGACACAGCGCCACAAACAGGAAGGTCTGCGGGGAGGGCCGGGCGCAGGGACTTCCGCCAAGAGAACGAGAAGCTCCCCCAGACGAGACGCTGTGTTTGGGGGGCGGGGGGGTGCAGGAAAGGGCCTGGGCTGCTGGGGCCCGTGGGGAAGTGTTAATCCAAGGTGCTAGGACATCAGGGCCAGGAACTTGGGGGGGGAGGTTAATCCTCTCCCCAGGGGGCCCTGGCCTCTTCCAGGCACCACCTGCCCCCATCCGTGGTCCCCAGGAGTCCCCAAGCCCCTCTGAAGGCTCAGTCACTTCCTTCCCTGAGCCACCGCCAAAGTGGTGACAGCATGTGCGTGTCTGCGTGTGCGTGCTTGTGCGTGCGTGTGTGTGTGTGTGTGTGTGTGTGTGTGTGTGTGTAAATATGCCCCCACGTTCCCCAGAGATGGTTCCCAACACCCCAAACCACTGAGGAGGGCGATGGTCGAGGGAAAGGGAGGAGCCAGAAGGGATTCGGCTTATAGAGCCGCCTCTAAGGGAAACAGAAGCCACGAGCCTGTCACCCACATGCATCTTGTCTGCATGTCTAGCACCGTCCCTGGCTCCACACATGTATGTGCACATGTAAGTGTGCACGCACACACACACACACACAATCCCACATGCTGGGCCGGCCCTACCCTGCCCTCTGTCTCAGACACCACCGTCTCAGCACGTCCCCCTCCTCCTCCCTCAGAAACTGGCCGCAGGAAGTAAGCACAGGGGCTCAGGCGCTCCCTGGCACACCCTGGGCACCGGAGCTGTGGGTGCCTCCCCTCCCCCCTCTCCAGTCAGGCCCTCTTAGATGGTCCCCTCCTCAGGGCTCACCTCCGTTCTCCCAGCACCAGGGCCTGCACGGGGGCAGCCTGGCCAGGGTCATGTCAGCCAGGCCTCTGCCCCCACTGCCCAACACCCACTCCTGCCCCCAGTGCCAGGCTGGGCCAGGCTGGGCACGAGGGAATAGAGGATCCCCTGGAGGGACCCAGAGCCTGGGGCATGAGCCCAGCCTGGCCCCTAAAAGAGACGGAGCAGTGGGCCTGAGGGCTGGTGCACCCCAGGACCAGGCAGGGCACAGCCAGGACAGCAGGAGCCCCCGGGTCCTGGGAAGAAGGGGGTGGAGGCAGGTGGGTGAGCCGCTTCTCCTCGGGGCTGCCAGGGACCCCAGCCCACAAAAAAGCCTTCATGAGCCCCGCAGGCCGGGGCCACTCCTGGGGCCCAGTCCCCAGCGCATCACCTGTTCCCGGGTCCTGGAGACCCACGTGTCCAGCAGCAGGTCCAGGCGGGAGCGGTGGAAGGCGCGGGTCGTCTTGACTGCGATGAAGACGTCCTGCAGCTGCAGCTCCGGGGACAGCGGGGGCGGCGGGGACGGCGGGCTCGGCCCGGGGGCCTCCTGCTCGCCCTTCGGGGACCGGCTCAGGGGACAGCGGAGGGAGAGGAGCCCCATGCACAGCAGGGTGAGGAGGGCTCCCGCCAGGCCCCGGAGGAGCCGGCACTGCATTGGCTCTGGGACCCCAGACAGCTCAGGCCCCCGAATCCCAGCTGGACGGGGCGGGGCGGCTGGTCAGGCAGGGGCTCGGGCACAGCCAGAAGTCTGGCAGGCATCGGGGCCAGCCAGGAGGGGAGAGCAGCCCCTCTGCCTCTGCTCTGCCAGCCCTCCACCTGCTCTGGCCACCCTCCCCACCGCAGCCCGCCCGCCCGCCCGCCCGCCCGCCGCTCGGGGCTCCGGCCCCGCCCCTCCCTCCAGCGCAGCTCAAGGGGCGGGGCGGCCCCTGGGAGCCCCAGAGGTGGCTGCAGAAGAGGCAGCTGAAGGGACAGCCCCGTTCCTGCCAGCTGCTGCCATGGGGGTGGGGGCAACCACAACCCGTCCCTGCCAGGGGGGAAGGGAGGGGCCCTCCAGCCTTCCCGCTCCCCAGAGCCTGCCAGCTGAGCTCATTCAACACCCATTGTTTCATGGTGCCCTGCTCTCCGGCCTCCCAGCTTCTGCCCAGGGTTCCTCCCCCTGCATGCTCTCCCCCACCCCCCTACGTCCTCACCCATGTTCCCTCCACCAGGCTGAATTCCGTTTGGATTTAAGGCTCAGCTCAAGGGCTCCCTCCTCCAGGAAGCCTTCTCTGATGCCCCTCCCAACGACCAGGGCTCCCACGGTGGTTGGCTCAGCCCCTTTGGTCTTCACAACAGCACTGGGATTGCTAGGCCCAGGTTAGAGCTGAACACAGAAGGCACAGAAGGCTCTAACATGGCCCAGGTGGTGTGGCTCAGCAGTTGAGCATCGCCTTGTGGACCAGGTCATGGTTTGATCCTTGGTCAGGACATATGCCCAGGAAGCAGGCTCAATGCCCAGTGTGGGGCATGCAGGAGGCAGCCAATCAGTGATTCTCTCATCATTGCTGTTTCTATCTCTCCCTCTTCCTTCTTCTCTGAAATTAATGAAAAGACTTTTTTTTTTTTTTTTTAATTGTTTTCCGTTACACTCTCTCCAGTCCTAATGTAGGGCTGGGTCATAGCAGGCCCAGCTCAGCCAGCTCAGTTCACAGCCACGTGGGACTTCCTTATATGTAATCAATAATCTTTATTTGTCCTAGACACTGTAGATTCAGCGAATAAAAGAAATCTCTCTCCTGATAGTCTCCTGAGGACAGGCAATAGATCAGTAAAACATACAGGCGTGGGGAGGTGGACGAGCAGTGGAGAGAACATAGTAGGAAAGGGGCCTGGGAAGTAGCTGGAGAGAAGGGATTGGGATTTACTTATCATTTGTTTTGTTTTTAATATGCTTTATTGAATTTTAGAAAGGAAGGGAGAGGGAGAGAAACATTGATGTGAGAAACACTGATTGACTGCCTCCTACATGCACCGCAACTGGGGACCGAACCCACAACCTGGGCATGGGCCCGGTCTGGAAACTGAACCAGCAGCCTGACCCTTGGGTGCATAGGGAGGGCACTCAGCCAACGGAGCCACATCAGCCAGGGCAGGATCGCAATTTAATAAAGTGATCTTGGAAGGCCTCAGGGCGAAGGTATCATTTATGAAGATGACATTTACGGAAGGACCTGAAGGAAGTATAAGGGAGTGAGGCAGGGACTCTCCCCCAACCCCCACCCACTGCAAAAACAGAAGTCTGGCAGACATCAAGGAGGGGAGAGAGCTGGGACCAGGAATTGAACCGTGACCTCCTGGTTTACAGGTTGACACTCAACCACTGAGTCACGCGGGCAGGGCTGGAGCTAACCCTCTGGAATCACCCCATGCCAGGCTCTTCACAGCTCATCTTCTCAGACCAGCGTCACCAGGCTTCCTGCCACATGGACCAGGGTTCGAATCCTGGCTGTGTAACTCGGGGCAAGTTGCTTGACCTCTCTGAACTTGACTTTCATCATTTATAAAGTAAGGACAACGTAAGACGTGGTAAAAATGAAAAGATTAGTGGACTCCTTCATCCCTGGAAGGCCACCCACCTAACATCGGACCCGGGTCCCACCTCTTCACCCAGACTCACGGGTCCTTAGACCGGGGACGAGGCACACAGCAGGGAGGGGAGAGGTTCATTCACCCGGATGAGAATGACCCAGTTTCCCCCCCAGGGAGCCCACAGCCACCCACAGCGGCCCGCCATCCTGCCACCCGGCAGGCTATGGCACAGCCCAGGAGAAGCCCCAAGGGCTGAGAATCAAGCCGGCTGCATGGAGATGGTGTCTGAGCCAGACCTCCGAGGACACAGAATCAGGCAGCCCCCACCCCTGAACGTCCCAGCGTCACTTCCTGCCGCTCCCCTGTGGCCAAACGCAACCCATTTTCTGCCTCTGAGCCTCTGTTCTTGAGGTTTTTTCCCACCTAGTAGCCCACTGGCCCCAAATCTCCCAAGCCCAGCCCAAGTTCATTACTGTTACCGAGGAGAACAGTCACAGGAGAACCTTAGGGCAGCACATAGGCACACAAGTCCAATAAAGGCTTCTTGAAGAAAGGGACCTCAGCTGAAATGGGTTTGGCTCAGTGGATAGAGCGTCGGACTACGGACTGAAAGGTTCCTGGTTCGATTCCGGTCAAGGGCATGCACCTTGGTTACGGGCACATCCCCGGTAGGGGGTATGCAAGAGGCAGCTGGTCGATGTTTCTCTCTCATCGACGTTTCTAGCTCTCTCTCTCCCTTTCTCTCTGTTAAAAATCAATAAAATATATATTTTTTAAAAAGGGACCTCAAACTCAAGTGGCACCTCCTCCAGCAGGCCCGCCTGGGTTTCTCCCGGTGGAGGTGACTGACCTCCCCCTGGAGGAGTCTCAGGGACCGGACTGCACACCGAAGGCTTGCCCCTGGTCCCCTGGACTCCGCAGCCAGGCCCTCAACCTCAACGCCACGCTCTGCTGGCTTCAGGGTCCCCACCCGAGGGGACCCTCCTTTGATGAGCGGACACAAGCAGGGCGAGCTGTGGGCTAACTGTGGGGGTGGCCCATCCGTGGGGCCCTGCTCCGGTCATCCCGGGGCGGGTAAGGTGATGCCAGCACAGATGGCGGGCGGTTGGGCGGCTCTGGGATGAGTCGGGAGTGAAGTCTGACCCTCCCCAAGGGCGAGAGGGAACCTGAAAGGTGGGATCAAGCTGAGCTGGAGGCGGGGACAAGCGCCCCCACCCCTCACCCCCACCAGGGATGCAAACAAGCAGAAGGACCCGGCCTTCTATGACAAACTGTTTAATGTTCCGTCGTAATGTGCAGCTTCTGAGTGAAAGGGGCCCGTGAAAACGAGCCGTACATACATTCTGGTGCCGGAGCAGCCGGGCCCCTCCCCCTGTCCCTCCGGAGACGGCCGGGCAGGGGGAGGTGCTGAGAACATGGTCCAGGGTGTGCTCATCGGGGACACACCCGTGTTAAGTGCCCAAGTGTCAAGGGGGTGGGGGACAGGACGTTTACACAGGAGAGAGAACCACGGACACGTGTGCGACCCGGAGACACCGCACAGGGGACGGTAGACCAGGGTAGCCACCACGCCCACGTGGGGAGCTATACACAGAGATGCGAGCTGACGGGTGGGAGTCACGAGGGGGGGGGCTCGTGGCTCCTGTGAGCCTGGGAGACCTTGAGCGCCGGGGAAGGCATAGACCGCAGCCTGCCCGTGAGGCCGCGGGCGGATATAACAGTTCACAGGAGTGAGAACCACGATGGTCCCCGTGAGCAGTGACGGAGGGACACAGACCCACGCGCGGGGACACGGAGACCTGAGGGCTCACGGGAAGGCCCAGAGCAGCAGGTACAGGCCGGAGGGTGGAAGCTCTGGCTCTGGCTCTGACTCCGGCTGGGCTCCAGCAGGATCACTCAGTGGCAGCCCAGAGCGGAGCCCAAGGGGCTTGGACGGCTCAGGACAGGGAGGTCCCAGCTCCACCACAGACACCAGGGTCTCCTGGGGGCATCTGAGCGCGTGAGCCTCAGAAGGGGCCCTCAGGCCTCGCTGCTGCTGCTGCTGCTGCCCCGGCTGCTGCCTCGCTCCACCCACACGAGGCGGGCCTGCTCCTGCAGGATGCGCCCGCGGACGACCTTGGCCAGCTCCTCCGAGTGGGCCCAGGCGTGGGCGGGCACCTGCACCCAGGAGCAGGGCAGCCCCCAGAGCACCTGCTCCGCGCTGCGGCATTGCCGGAGCAGCTCCGAGTCCCGCCAGCCCGGCCGGCCCAGCAGGCCCCTGCCGAGAGAGGAGAGTGGGCAGTGGGCAGGGGGCAGAGAAGGGCACAGAGACGACAGGGAGTGAGAGAGAAAGGACAAACAGATGGAGGACGACAAAGAGGCAGATGGCAAAGGAGGACGGCGAAGAGCCAGACAGAGACGGATTGCCCCGGAGAGGAGGTTCGGGTCCGGCCTCACCTGACTTCCCGGACGTTCTTCTCGGTCACCTCCACGTGGATGACGATGGGGTAGATCTCATTCTGGACCAGCTCCCGCACGCCCCGTGCGCCCAGCTCCAGCAGGCAGTGCTTCTTCTCGGGGGTCAAGGTTACGTTTTACTCCGGCCCGGAGACACCCAGGTCCCTGCCCCACACCCCCCAGCACCGGGCTCCATAGCACTGCCCCTACAGGGTCCTGCCTCCCCATCCAGAGGGACCTTGGCAGTGAGGAAACAAGGAGGGGGGGGGACATGTCACTCTGCCTCTCTGGACCTCAGCCTCCACATCTACAGGATCAAGCTACCTCCCCCCCCACCCGCACTGTCCCGGCCAGCTCCCAGGACGGGGAGAGTTTGAGGACAAGGAGACAGCCAGGCGAGATGGACCAGCCATTCCTAGGTGAGGAAAGGCCCACAGAATGGGAGGGACTGCCCAGAGCAGCCCCCCTCCCCGGCACCTACCTTCCCGACAGACTCCTGGATGGCACGGATCCTACTGCCCAGCCCGGGGGTGGCAGGCCAGGCCTTGGGGGCTCCGGGAGCGGAGGGGGCGCACTGTTCCTCCCCAGACAGGCTTTCTGGAAGGCAGGGAGAAGCCAGAACGAAGGGCCGGTGGGCCTGGCTGCCCCCGAGTGCCAGCTTACCCTCCCTCTCCGGGCACCAGGGCTCACCCGCTGGGCACACTTGGAAGTCCAGCCGGGAGTTGGGCAGGTCTAGCAGGTTGCGGATGAGCCGAGGTGCCAGGCACTCCGGCAAGAGCACCACGGGCCGCAGGGAGGGCACCAGCAGCGGCCGCACCACGCTGTAGGGTTTGAGGCTCCACTCTGGATCTGGGGCGGGGCGGGTGCAGGAGAGATGAGGGTGCAGGCAGGGCCCTCAATATTCAAAACCCCATCGCTTCTTCTCATGCCCCATCTATCTTTTTCCCTTCTTAAGTCCTGCGGCTACTCCCCACCTTCTCCCCCCCCTACCACCCCCCGGCTGCTACACACACACACACACACACACACACACACACACACACACACACGTGCGCGCACTGCCCAGTCTTCCCTGGGACTGCTGCAATAGATTCCTCCCTAATCTCTGCCTCACTCTCGCCCCCTAAAGGCCATTGTCCTCTCGGCAGTCAGAAAGAGGTTTAAAAAAATATATATATAGATATATATATATATATATGTGTGTGTGTGTGTGTGTGTGTGTGTGTGTATGTATATATGTATATATGTATATATATGTATCTTTTATATAAATTTTAAGATGATGCAGAGGTTTGCTTCTTTTTAATAACTGTGTCATTCCTACATTTAAGCACTATCTTTCTGAGTACTATCTGAGTTTGGAATAATATGTCAACTTTTGAAATTCTCATTAAAATATATATATATTGTTGATTTTTTTTTTAGAGAGAGGAAGGGAGAGAGATAGAGAGTTAGAAACATCGATGAGAGAGAAACTTCGCTCAGCTGCCTCCTGTACACTCCCCAATGAGTATGTGCCCGCAACCAAGGTACATGCCATGCCCTTGACCGGAATTGAACCTGGGACCCTTCAGTCCCCAGGCCAACGACGCTCTATCCACTGAGCCAAACAGGTCAGGGCTTAATATATTTTTATTAATTTCAAAGAGGAAGCGAGAAGGAGAGAGGGATAGAAACATCAATGATGAAAGAGAATCATGGATCGGCTGCCTCCTGCATGCCCCCTTCTGAGGATCTAGCCCACAACCCTGACTGGGCATTGAACTATGACCTCCTGGTTCATAGGTCAATGCTCAATCACTGAGCCACACTGGCCAGGCCAGAGAGAGGTTTTAAAACGAAAGTCAGATCTCATAACTCTCATGTTTTCAATGAGTGCCAACCCTCCATGGCTCTTAGGTAAAAGACCACATCCTCCTTGTGGGCACCCAGCACGGCCAGCAAACCTCACACCCCATCACAGATCCCACTCCTCCTACACAGACCCAGCCTGCCCTCAGCCGCCACCGGTCACAGGGCCTGGCCGTGCCCTGGGCAGGCCGGAGCCCCGCTCTGGCATCCCGTTCTCCCCCATTACAAGTGTCACACTTGGCAGTTACGTCCATGAATGCGATTAAGTGGCCGAGAGGCAGCGAGCCCAGAGGGGCGGGGGACCCCTGTGTCCTGCGGACCGAGAATGACAGTTCTGGCACTTGATGCCGGCGTCCTCCAAACACACCGGGCACAGCCATGCCTCCGGGCCTTTGCACAAGCTGTGCCTTCTTTTTTTTAAAAATGTGTTTTATTGGTTTCTTAGAGAAAGGGGAAGAGAGAGCAGCGCAGATCAATTGCCCCCATACACACCCTAACTGGGACCAACCCCGAACCCTGGGCATGTGCCCTGACCAGGAATCAAACCAACGACCCTTTGCTGCACAGATGACGCCCAACCAACGGAGCTACCCAGGCCCGGACCAGCTGTGTCTTCCGCCTGGAAGCAACCCCTCTCCCTCCTGAAGGACTCGGTTTAAACCATCTCCCCTCCAGCACGTCCTCCCTCACCATCCTCCCCTCCTGGCCCCTCAGAATTGCCATTCTCTCATGTGCCCCCTCCCCGCTGACCTGGCCCTAAGCCTCACCCCTTGCCTCCAGGAACCTATTCTGCGGTCCTCATGGCACAGCTCCGCCTGCTCTGCCAGACAGAACAGGCCTCACACTCACGCAGACCACGGACCCACGAGGACACATGCGCCTCCTGCACCAACCGGCTCTCTCCACTGGAGGCCCATCTCCCACCAAGGGAGCCTCATCTCTCAGGCCCTGGCATGGGCCCCGCCCCCCGGAGCCCTCCCACAGGCCCTTCCAGGCCCAAGGGCACCAGAGCGCCCTCCTGGCCTCCCACTGAGCACTCACCTGAGCAGGGCTCTGGCAGCAGCTGCTCCGGGGAGTCCCCAGCAGGGCCCCCGGCGTGCTTGGGCTTCACCAGCCGCAGCTGGTCCAGCGCTCGCTTCTTCAGCTGGGCGGGCAGAGGGAGAGGGGCACCTGTGAGGGGCACCTCGGGGAGAGGGGAGAGCACACGAAACCCCAGGCGGAGGGGGCCCAGGTCACCAGCTCTTCTCCTGTCCCTGCCCAGGCAGCCAAGGACCCAACAAGTGAGGTGTGCCCACCCCCGTTTTACAGATGGACAAACTGAGGCCCAGAGACCAGAGGGACCTAAATGTCACAAGAGAGAAACTTTGGGGTCTCCTCCAATGAACTAGCAATGCGGCCTTGGGGAGGAAGATGAGTGAAACCAACAGCAACAGCATTTATTATACCGAGAGCCGGCAGGTATCAAAAGCCTACAGTGTGACTCATACTAAGTAGGCCACGGATGTGCATGGACCACTGAAGCCTTCTACGCCACGGGCCAAGCAGGCAGCGTGACCCTCCTTTCACATGGAGGACACAGAGCCTCGGGGAGGGGCAGCGGGTGTCCGAGGTGGCATGGCTGATGCAGGGGCAGAGCTGGGATTCACACCCGGCCAGTCTGGCTCCGAGCCTGCGCTCTCAGCCCCTCTCTAGTGCCATAGCCTCTTGCATTACTAGGGCAACTCATTCTGCCCAGGTGTAAGGGGCGAACCACCCAGCCCAGCCCTCACCCGGGGACGGGAAAAGGGGGCGTGACTGCTGTTCTGTCAAGTGCTTACCGTGGGCCAGGCATACCCGTGAGCACGAAGCACACTCCATCTCATTCACTCTCTCAACTACCCTAGACCTGAGTCCTGCTGTTCTCTTTGCTGGCACACACACGTCAACCAAGTACGGTGAGGGGTGAGGGGTGAGGGGTGATGGCTGAGGGGTGAGGGGTGAGGTGTGAGGGGTGATGGCTGAGGGGTGAGGGGTGATGGGTGATGGCTGAGGGGTGAGGGGTGAGGGGTGAAGGATGAGGGGTGAGGGGTGAGGAGGGGTGAGGGGTGAGGGGTGGGGTGTGAGAGGTGAGGGGTGAGGGGTGAGAGGTGAGAGGTGAGGGGTGAGGGATGAGAGGTGAGGAGTGAGGGGTGAGGGGTGAGAGGTGAGGGGTGAGGGGTGAGGGGTGAGGGGTGAGGGGTGGGGTGTAAGAGGTGAGGGGTGAGGGGTGAGAGGTGAGAGGTGAGGGGTGAGAGGTGAGGGTGAGGGATGAGAGGTGAGGGGTGAGAGGTGAGGGGTGGGGGGTGAGAGGTGAGGGGTGAGGGGTGAGAGGTGAGGGTGAGGGGTGAGGGGTGAGGGATGAGGGAGTGAGGTGAGAGCATCCCCCTCTCCTCCCCCATCCCCCTCTCCTCCTCCGGGGCTGCCAGAGAATGGAGCCCGGCCTCTCCCTCCGAAACCCCGCTCCCCGCCCTCACCCAGTCGCCGCCCTGGCCCTGCTTACGTTGCTGCGGGGCCCGCGGGGCCGGCTGGAGGGCAGGCATTTCTCCTGAACTTCCAGGAGCTGCTGGGCTCTGGGGGGGGGGGGGGGAAGAAATCTTGTCACATTCAGTATGGCCCCTGGGAACCCCTCCCAGCCTCCCCTCCAGCCCCCCACCCTGTTCCAGACAGTGAGGGGCTGCAAAGGGAGAGGGAGGCCCCCCCCGGCCCCCGGCCCTGGCACCTCTGGTAATTGGGCACGGTGCCCCCCCTGGCCCCCGGCCCCCGGCCCTGGCACCTCTGATAAGTGGGCACGGTGCCCCCCCCAGCCCTGGCACCTCTGGTAAGTGGGCACGGTGCCCCCCCGGCCCCCGGCCCTGGCACCTCTGGTAAGTGGGCACGGTGCCCCCCCGGCCCCCGGCCCTGGCACCTCTGATAAGTGGGCATGGTGCCCCCCCCAGCCCTGGCACCTCTGGTAAGTGGGCACGGTGCCCCCCCGGCCCCTGGCCCTGGCACCTCTGGTAAGTGGGCACGGTGCCCCCCCGGCCCCCGGCCCCCGGCCCTGGCACCTCTGGTAAGTGGGCACGGTGCCCCCCCCGGCCCCCGGCCCTGGCACCTCTGGTAAGTGGGCACGGTGCCCCCCCGGCCCCCAGCCCTGGCACCTCTGGTAAGTGGGCACGGTGCCCCCCCGGCCCCCGGCCCTGGCACCTCTGGTAAGTGGGCACGGTGCTCCCCCGGCCCCCGGCCCTGGCACCTCTGGTAAGTGGGCACGGTGCCCCCCCCGGCCCCCGGCCCTGGCACCTCTGGTAAGTGGGCACGGTGCCCCGGTCCAGGTCGCGCAGCGTGAGGGGGTCGACCCGCGCGCAGAGCCACTCCTGCCGCCGCTTGTACGCGGGGTCCACCAGCCGCAGGATCTCCTGGGCCTTCACGCACAGGGCGTGGGGGTCCGCCCGCTCGGGCAGAGTGAGGTGGGCTCGCATGTAGAAGGGCTCGGCGCCCAGCCCCTTCACCCAGGCGTCCAGGGCCTCGTGGAAGGACTGGGCAGCTGGGCACGGACGGGCAGGGGCGGAGGGAGAACAAGGAGGGAAAAGTCAGGCATCCAAGGGGCCCTCTCCAAGCCCAAGCTACCAGGACCCCTTTCCTCCTCTTAACGCAGGCCCAAGGCCACCACGCCCGCGAGGGATAGAACCAGGACTCGAACCCAGGCATCTAGACTCCCGTCCAGGCCTCCTCTCACTGCCAGCTGCCTGCTGAGGACAGAGGAAGGGCACGGAGGACAGCCAGCCGGCATGAGGCAGCGATGGGGAAGGCAGGGCACCGCCAAGGTCAGGAGGTGGGAGGGCTCCCGCTCAGGCCTCAGTGTGCCACCCCCCCGGGGCTGGGTGAACCCGCCCGTGGGCCCTTAGCTCTGACCCTGCAGGACGGGCGCGTTCCCAGCCACCACTCCCCTCGCCCCGGGGCCAGGCTCACCCTTAGAATCCATCAGGAACGGCAGCGTGGACACCTGGTTCCAGGTCAGGGTCCTCCGCTGGGCCTCGCCCTCCAGGCCGGCCCCCTCCAGGCCCGCAGCCTCCGCCCTGGGCTGGGAGCAAACCGGGCAGCGAGGGGGAACAGTCAGCTCCCCGAGGCAGGGCAGGCTCCGGAGGAAGACTGAGTGCGGGACTAGCCAAGTTCCACAACTCAGACGCCTCCACCGGAGGGCAGTCCGGCTCTGCTATCTTCCATAGGCCTCTCCCCCCAGCAGGTTCAGCCAGGTCCTTCCACATTTAAAAGCAGGCGGGCTGTCATTCTGCCCCACCTCCCAGCCCCTTCCCAATCAGGTGTCATTTCATACCGGCTAGTGAGCCTGCCTCCCCTCTAGCCAATCCAGAGAAACTCGGCCCAGTGACCTAGATCCACCAGTCAGAAGGCATCCATCCCTGGCTAAAGGCTGGGTGCTCCTCCCCCAGCCCAGAGTTGGGTGAGGACTCACCTCTCTCAGTTCCACCCTGGCAGACCCAGGCCCAGAGAGCACCCTCCGCACCACCATCCCGGAGCAGCTGTCCCCAAGGAAAGGCAGGCCATCTGGACCCCTGTCCTGGGGTTCGGGTCCCCCCGGGGGGCTCCGGCCAGACACCTGTATGGCCAGAGACCTGAGGAGAGAGAAGCGGATGGGAATGAGAGTTCGGTCAACCTTTTGCTCCAGCTCAGCATTCTTGGAAAACCACGGCAATTCCCCACGTATGCCATGATGCCCATGCCCCACCCATCCTCACCCCCCCCCTCCCCCCGGTCCATGGCACCTGCTGTGCCAATGCCTGGAAGGCACTTCCCCCTCTTCCCTGCCTGGCAGATTCTGCTCGTCCCCCAGAGCTCAGGTCGAAAGCGAACTCTCCCTCCCAGACCCCAGCAAACGGTGAGGTGCAGAAGCATAACCACACCTTGCTCACCGCCTGCTGTTTCCTCCATCGCCCCAGCCCCAGCCCCGAGCCTGGCGCACAGCGGGTGACTAACGAAAGCTTGTTATGCGCGCAGTCTAGGAAGGAAGGTCACCCCGAGAACACAACGCAGACCAGAGAGGGCCACGGGGCAGTGGGAGCACAGGGGAGTGGCTTCCCGGAGGAAGGCGCCACTGGCTGCCCTGTGGCCAAGAATAGAAGCACTTCAGCCCTGGCTGGTGTGGCTCAGTGGATAGAGCGCCGGCCTGTGGACTAAAGGGTTTGATTCCAATCAAGGGCACATGCCTGGGTTGCTGGCTCGATCCTCAGGAGGGGGCGTGCAGGAGGCAGCCGATCAATGATTCCCTCTCATCATGGATGTTTCTATCTCTCTCTCTCTCCCTCTCCTTTCCTTTCTAAAATCAATTTTTAAAAAATATTTTTTAAAAAGAATAGAAGCAGTTCAGTAACAGGCAGAGGTGGTGTTCCAGGCTGGGGGGCGGCCACGAGCAAAGGTGTGGGGGACAGGACACAAGATTGTGGGAGAATTTTTAACAGTAATAAGAGCTGCTGATGCACGCTGGGTGCTTCCCATGTGCCAGACACCACGTGAAGCTCCTGACTAACGTAACACCCTGAGCGTCAGCCCCCAAGGAAGGCAAGCTGCAGCGGCCTCCGGGGGGCGCAGCCGGTCCTCCCTCTCCGGGCTAAGACCGAGTCCCTAAAACCTCCCTCAGGGCAGGGCTCTCGGCCTGTCCCCGGATGAGAACGGATGAGGCCTCGTGGCCAGGCTCACACATCACTGACTCCAAGTCTCCTCCATGACCCCTGGCCCTGGTGCTGGGGAGGGGAGAGGCAAGGTCAGCGGGTGTGCCCCAGCCGTCCACCCACCTCCCCACCCACCGTCCCTCTGCAGCCCAGCCACACTGCCCCCTGCTGCCAGCCCAGGTGAGCAAGGCCACAAGGACCTTAACCCAATCAGCACCCAGAGGGGGGACCTGGGCCCTGAGAGCCCATCTCAGCTCCTGTCCTCTCCGTCCAAACAGAGAGCCAGGCCCGGGGGCTGGGACAGACATGGGTGCTGGGACCGTCCTGGCTGCACCGAGGTGGCGTGGAGAGGCCAGTGCAGACGTGGCAGGCCGGATGCTGGGCCGACTATGCTGCCCAATGGCCTTCCGGCCAGAGCAACACAGTCCAGGCCCAAACCCCAGCATGCAGTGCGCCCTAGCCCAGGGCAAGCGAGCTGGCTGCCTGGTTCTCAGGCAAGGACACGGCGGCACCTGAGGGTCCAACGAATGTCACGACAGGGCAGGGAGGGGAACCAGGGGGCTCCGGGGCCTCCCACCCACAGGCCTGTTCCCAGGGGAAGAAGAATTCTGTTTCTTTTTTTTTTTTTTTTCCTCCCTGTTTCTTTTTTTAATATTTTTATTGATTTTTCACAGAGAGGAAGGGAAAGGGATAGAGCTGGAAACATTGATGAGAGAGAAACATCGACCAGCTGCCTCCTGCACACTCCCCACCGGGGATGTGCCCGCAACCAAGGTACATGCCCTTGGCCGGAATCGAACCTGGGACCTTTCAGTCCGCAGGCCGACACTCTATCCACTGAGCAGAACCGGTTTCAGCGAGAATTCTGTTTCTTAATGGGATGGACTCGCAAACAGAAGCCTGTCTCCCTTCAAGCAAGTCCCACTACGGTGTCCCCGCGCTTCAGGCACGGCTCACAGTCTCTCTCGCTGGGGTATGGACAGAAGAGTTTTGGAAATGTGGCCTGGTGTGGAGAAGGGGAAACTGAGGCATGCGGCAGTTGGGTGCTTGGGATGGGCTAGCCTAGACAAGGGCTGCACAGCTGGTGGGCGGTACCGTCGGGCCATGACCTATCCAAGCCCCTGTGCAAACCGAAGGGGCCATGGATCCTGCGTGGACAAGTGCAGGCAGAGGCGGGTCCTGGCGGGGGGCACAGCACCGGGTGCTCTCCCCACACACCCCTCCGACCTCAGCCTGTCCATCTGTCCGTCTACCCGTCAGCCTGCCCCAGCACCCCCACTGCCCACCTCCTCTGCCTGCCCCGTGGCCCCAGGAGCCCAGCGGGGCCGGGGAGGCAGGGCTGAGAAGACCCAGCATGGAGTGAGGACTGAACACAAGTAGGAGATTAAAGTGACATAGACAGCGGTCACCAACCGAGGGTCCATGACGGCCCTGGCCAGTTTGTCCAGTGGTTAGAGCACCAGCCCCACACCGAAGGATGGAGATTTGATTCCCAGGCAAGAGCATGCACCTTGGTTTTGCAGGTTCATTTCCCAGCCCTGGTCAAGCATCCATGTTTCTCTAGCTCTGCTCTTCTCTCTCTCTCTCCCCCACCCTTCCATTCTCTCTAAAAATCAATGGGAAAGCCGAGACCAGTTTGGCTCAATGGATAGAGTGTTGGCTTGGGGACTGAAGGGACCCGGGTTCGATTCCGGTCAAGGGCATGTACCTTGGTTGCGGGCATATCCCCAGTAGGGGGTGTGCAAGAGGCAGCTGATCAATGACTCTCTCTCATCGATGTTTCTAGCTCTATCTCTCTCCCTTCCTCTCTGTACAAAATCAATAAAATATATTTTTTTTAAATAAAATAAAATAAAAATCAATGGGAAAAATACTCTAAGGTGAAGATTAACCAAAAAAAACGTGACTTAGACAGAAGGACGGCACCCAGGAACCCCCAACTCCACCACTCAATGCCTGGGGACAAAGTCCTGACTCCGAGCCTGGCTTTGCTCACCGGAATAAGGGCTAGACACGCCGGCCTCGCAGGCCCCTCTGAGGATCAAGCAACAAGGGCAACAACCACAACACGAGCTAAGAGCGGGCACATCCGTCACTCGGAGCCATGCCAACAGGAATACTGGAACCCCACGGCCTAAGGGGACAGGCACGACGGTGACCCCATTTCACACAGCAGGACACGGAGGCCCTGGGAAACTGAGTGGCAGGCCCACGACCCCTCGGCAGAGCAAGATGTCAGCTGGCTGACACACCGTCCACTGCACTGCACGCCGCACAGCCCAGGACACAGGCCTCGGCCCCTCACCTCCCTCTCCACCTGTCCCTCGGCCTCTTTCCCTCTCCATCCTCCACCTCTGCCTCCATCCTAACCTGTGTTCCCCCCCTCCCCCTTCTCCTTAGCATGGGCATCAGCGGTGGCCCCCGATCACACAGCTCCTGCCGCCTCTGCCACGTCCCGGCGCCCCCTGGACAAGAGCCAGGACCCCTTGTGCAGCCTGAGCTGAGGGAGGAAGGGCCAAGCCAGGCAGGAAGGGAGGCGCCTCGGCCCCTTCCCTCACCACGTCCTGCACAGGGAGAACAATGTCACGCCGGGCCCACTGCCGGCGGGAGGGGGGGTGTGGCGGGCAGGGCTCTGGACGTGGGCCTGGCCAAGCTGCTTCCAGGGCGCAGGAGGCCCCGGCCCTGCTGTGCCCCGGTTTCCTGGTGACCTGTGCTCTGCTTCTAGCACCCCCACCTTCCCGCTCTGACCTCAGCGCCTCCCACGCCCTCTCCAAAACCCGAGTCCCATCAGGTCACCGTGGACGTGGGCCAGGACATCCCCAGCTGTGTAGCCTCGGGCGAGCCGTGTAACCTCTCTGAGTCTCCGCTCCTTCCCAAGGAAATGGGGATGATCACTGTAACGCCTCCCTCCAGGGACGGGAGGAGGCGGCCAGCGGCGGCCTGCTGTCAGTAATCGCTAATCCCTCGCAGGTTTCCCGGCAAGCACCAGCCAAAGTCCACCCTCTTCCAGCCTGACTCAGAGCCTGCTGGGGCTTGGCCTCCCCCACCACCGCCACCCCATCCCCATCTCCACCCCCCACCTCCACCCCCACCCCCAGGTGCTCCCGTCAACGCCAAACTCCAAGCCCATCCCAAGCACCCTCTGCTCTCTCCCTCTTCCAGCCATCCAGCTGCCCTCCCTGCCTGCCCTCTCGCCCTGGCCGAGTTCAAAGGCCACATTCTTAGCCGGGCCTCCCTCTCTCCCCTCCCAAGGTCCCTCTCTCCCCTCCCGAGGTCCCCCTCTCCCCTCCCGAGGTCCCTCTCTCCCCTCCCGAGGTCCCCCTCTCCCCTCCCGAGGTCCGCTCAAAAGCCTGGCTGGGGTGGCCCTTCATGACCAGAGCTCACTGCCGGGATCCCGCACACTCTGAGCCAATGTGTTTCTTGGCTGCTGAGTGGCCTGCCCCACCCACAGCCCGAAGCTTTGTTGTGGGGGAGCTCAGAGCCGGGAGGACAGGCAGAGGGCCGGTGTCAGTACAACTGCCATTTACTGAGCGCCTACTACGTGCCTGGCTAAGCCAGGTGCTTGACTGACATGAGTGCCAAGCCTCAGACCGTCACATGCAGAGGAGATGCCTCACTGCTCCCCTTGAGGAAACGGAGGAAGGTAACACAGGGGATACACGGTGGCGGTGGGTTTGAATCCAACTGCCAGTTGCCTACAGCGAAGGCTTAGCGGCTGCTCTCCCTCCCACCTCATCCCGCTCCGGGATCCGAGCGCGGGCCCTGCCCCGCTCACCCAGGCGGCTCCCGCACCTGTTGAGGAGATCCAGGCCGCAGCCTCTGGCCAGGAGACCGTCCGGCTTCCCCAGAGGCCACACGCTGTCGGAGGAGGAGGAGGAGGAGAGGCCGGGGGACCAGGGCTTAAGCGTGACGCTACCTGGGGAGGAGGAGCGAGGTTCAAGAGTGCTGGACTGAGCGGCTGCCAGGCTGGGAGCGGCCAGGCCCGGGGGAGCAGCCGGGTCGGGTGCGGCCAGGCCCGGAGCAGCAGCTGCCAGGCTGGGAGCGGCCAGGCCCGGAGCAGCAGCAACCAAGTCCAGAGCAACTAGGTCGGGAGCGGCAGTGACCAGACCCGGAGCAGCTGGTTGTGGAATGAACCAGAGCAACAGAGGCCAGGCCCTGAGCAGCCAGGCCCAGAACAGCTCGCTCCTTGCCTGCCCCTGGCCCACGGCTGCCTCTCAGACATGGCTGGAAACTTTCGTGGGAACTTGAGGGTCTGCTGAATCAAGTGGTGAAGGCTTAGATCTGGATGTGTTGAGTTAGTTTAGGACTGGGGTGTTGATCTGTGAGTGCCTTGGGTGGGACCTGGATGAGGCTGGTTGACCTAGAGGGAAATGTCTTTTGTGTGAAGTGTATCATTGGGCATGTGGAGGTATTATTGATATGAGAAAATGCTAAATAACTGATTTACTATCTGAAAAGGGATTTACTATTGGGGAAATTGAGGGAAGAAGAGACTGAACATAAACTGCACCTATGGATGAGGACAATGGGGGGGGGGGGGCGGAGGGTGGGGTGGGAACCTGGTGGAGGGGGGAAGAAATGAGGAACCTTTGTAATAATATGAACAATAAAGATTGATTAAAAAAAAAAAAAAGACAAATATTAAAAAAAAAAAAAAAAAAAAAAAAGAGTGCTGGACTGAACAACGGGGGAAGCCCAGAGACCACCCCCGGCCCAGAGGCCCCAAGAACACCCTGGACCCACTGGAATCGGGTGAAGGGTGGACCAGAACCCCACACGGCACAGCCAGGACCAGGGCAGAGCCTTCCCGCCTGTCCAGGGCCCAGCTGGGCCTCGGGGAAGGAGTCCCGGGCCAGGGGCAGAGCGGGCAGCATAGGCCACAGGTCAGCCGAAAAGCTCCCCCGCTACCCCCACCCCATAAGCCCTCCCCAGGGAGGGTCCGAGGGCCCTTACCTGTGATGTCTGACATGCTGCTGAAGGACCTGGGCAGAGAGAGGGCGGGACGAAGGGGCAGGAGCTGAGAGTCAGCGGGCATCTGCCCCATCCCTCCTCCTGCCCCTGTGCCACCCAAAGGTCCTGCAGCCCCCAGCACGTGCCAGCAAGACCCGGTGGGAGTCCCCAGCCCAGGGCACCCAGCTCCCCTAAACCCTCAGAGACAAGAAGGCAACAGCCGAAACCGGTTTGGCTCAATGGATAGAGCGTCGGCTTGGGGACTGAAGGGTCCCGGGTTCAATTCCAGTAAAGGGCATGTACCTTGGTTGTGGGCATGTCCCCAGTAGGGGGTGTGCAAGAGGCAGCTGATCGATGACTCTCTCTCATCGATGTTTCTAACTCTCTATCTCTCTCCACTCTGTACAAAATCAATAAAATATATTTTTTTTAAAAAGAAAAGAAGGCAACAGCTGGCCTCAGCCCCACGGCCTTCCACCTCGAATGCCCCAGTCCGTTCTTAAACGCCACCCCCTCCAGGAAGCCTGCCTGGACCTCTCACCCCCGTCTCCTCCTCACTTCCTACACTGTCTGTCGTTGGTGGCTCCTGGGCTGCCTCTCGCACTAGATCAAGCAGGTCAAACTCCGGCCATGACAGGCTTACGCTAGATCATGACCCCTCGCCACACACCCATTCCTGGTGGATTCACCCATCGGACCGAGCCCGGGACTGGGACCTACTCCCTGAAGGGCGGGTCGTCCCCACCCTCGGTCCCGCCACCAGTGGACACGGCTGCCTTTTTGTGGCCCCACTGGCTGCCGACGCCCAACCCTGAGGCCAGCTTTCTAGCCTGAGGCCCCTGACACCTGGAAAGCATCTCTGCGAGCCCCCGTCCTAAACCAGGGGAGGGAACCTTTCCCCGCCCGGGGCCAGGCGGGTATTTATAACACCCTTCAAGGGCCACACAGCATTACCCCCTTAAAAGTTAGCCTGCTAGCCGAAGCCGGTGTGGCTCAGTGGATAGAGCATCGGTCTGCAGACTGAGAGGTCCCAGGTTCGATTCCGGTCAGGGGCATGTACATTGGTTGCGGGCACATTCCCAGTAGGGGGTGTGCAAGAGGCAGCTGATCGATGTTTCTCATTGACGTTTCTAGTTCTCTAGCTCCCTCCCTTCCTCTCTGTAAAAAATCAATAAAATATATTTTTTTAAAAAAATTAGCCTGCTATACTGGGTCAAACATTTAATTAACTCGTCCCTAATGCCTTGGCAGAGCCGGACCAGATGGTTTCACAAGTCGTGGCCCAAACCATCAGGCTTTCCCGGGATTGAACAACTCTGCGGTTCAGTCCCTAGTGATTCAGCCGCCAGAGAGTTGGGTTGGGGCTTAGCCTGCTCTGCCCTTTGGCCTGGTCTTAACCTCTGACCTCAGTCGCTCCTGCGCTCTCAGGGCCAGCGCTCTGGCCATTGAAAGGCAGTCAGGGAGGTGACCGCCAAGTGCTGAGTCTGGCCTGAGGGATTCTGGGAGGTGGCTGGGCCCCTGCCGCTCTCTTTCCAGCCTATTTACCTTTTGTTTTGTTTTTTCACATCGATTGGTTGCCTCCCAGGCTGGGAATCCAGCCTGCAACCGAGGTTGGTGCCCTTGACTGGAATCGAACCCAGGACCCTTCGGTCTGCAGGCCGACGCTCTATCCACCGAGCCAAACTGGTTGGGCCTGTTTACCTCTTAGCAGGTGCAGGGTCCTCCTCACGCTGCCGGCGGAGGATGGAGCCTGCGCTGGGAGGGAAGGGCAGGATGGACAGCCGGTTGATCTCTTTCTCGTTGTCTGTGGCCTCCTCCTGCAATGTCACGACAGGGCCTGTGTCACCCCCACTGCACTCCCCACAGCTCAACGCGCCCAGGTATGTGCACATTCCACAGGTGAGAACTGGGGCCCAGAGCGGAGGAGTGAGCTCTCCAAGATTACAGTGTGAGGCCAAAACCGGTTTGGCTCAGTGGATAGAGCGTCGGCCTGCAGACTGAAAGGTCCCAGGTTCGATTCCGGTCAAGGGCATGTTCCTCGGTTGCGGGCACATCCCCAGTAGGAGGTGTGCAGGAGGCAGCTGATCGATGCTTCTCTCTCATCGATGTTTCTAGTTCTCTGTTCCTCTTTCTTCCTCTCTCTAAAAAAAAAAAATCAATAAAATATATTTTTTTAAATAAATAAATAAAATATATATTTCTTAAAAAGATTACAGTGTGAGTGGCCCCTAGGTCTCCTGGTACAGGCCCAGCAGCAGAGCTGGCTCTGGATAAGCTTCATAAGGTGCTTGCCTCTGTGGGTCTCAATTTCCTCCTGTGTGAAACACCTCCACAGCATGTGCAAAGGCCCTGAGACAGGGCTGGCTGACACCTGCCCGGAAGCCAAAGGCTGAGACCCAGAGAGCCAGGCTGAAGGGAGGGAGGGGCCCCCTGAGGGTCTCTGGGACCGAGCAAGGGCTTAGTCAGCAAACTGGAGGGCCCTCTCCATGTCAGTAATTACGTGAATACCATCAGTGTCCTCCCCACTCTCAGGTGGGCAGGCGTCTTACCGAGATGTGGGGCTCGGAGCCCCCCAGGACAGAGGCCTCCCCAACGACCTCTGGGCCTCCCAGCGGGGAGGGGAACTCGCTCAGGCTCCAGGTGCTGCTGAGGTTGGAGCACAGGGAATGAGAGGAGGTGCAGGCCTGGAGAGGAAGGGGCAGGATGAGGTCAGCAGTGCTGGACCGGGGCCAGCCACCGTCATTTCGTGAACGCCTGCCCTCACGGAGCGCTCCGCCCCGAGGACACGCAGACGGGTGAAGGAAGTAGCCCTGCGCCCGATGCGCTTTACCCTGAGCACTCGGGTAAGTAGGCACTAAACAGAATTGGGGAGGATGGTCTAGGCCAGTGGTCGGCAAGCTCATCAGTCCACAGAGCCAAATATCAACAGCACAACGATTGAGATGTCTTTGGAGAGCCAGATTTTTTAAACTTAAACTTCTAACGCCACTTCTTCAACATAGACTCGCCCAGACCATGGTGTTTTGTGGAAGAGCCACACTCAAGGGGCCAAAGAGCCGCGTGTGGCTCCGGAGCCGCTGTTTGCCAACCGCTGGTCTCGGCAGACAGAACAGTAGGTGCAAAGGCCCTGAGTCAGGACTGTGACACCTTCAGGAGCCCAGCGGACCAGGCTGGAGGGAGGGAAGGGTCCACTGCAGGGCCTCCAGGGCACAGTAAGGGCTTTTGTCCTTACCCAAGAGCAAAACACCACTGAGGGTTAAGAAGTGAAAAGTCACAGATTCACACTTCCTTTGTTCCCTTCCTCTGGGTATCAAACACCTGGCCTGTCGATTATCTCCAAGTAAAATCAAGATAAGAAGAGGCAGAGCTCCTGGCAGATGGCCAAGAACTAGGAACTGTTTTTTCAAGGGGTCCGTGGACGCAGCTCCAGTCCTGGCTGGCTGAGTGACCTTGGGCAAGCCCCTAACCCTCTCTGGGCAATGAGGCCGCTGGACTAGCTGGTCTCCGCGGGGCTTTTAGGGCCCATGTTTTGCATTCCAAGGTGCTCACAGGCCCTCAGGCCACTGGGCTTCTCCCAGTGTTTGCAAAGACAGGCTTCAAACTAGCCTTGGTGCCCCACAACTCAGACACCCACATGCCACCTGCCTCTGTCCCCTTCCCTATGCACCCACCCTAGCTGGGGTCCCCCACCAGACCGGCATATCCTCTCTCCTGGCCAAGAGCTCCCTCCAAGCCAACATGTTCTTGACGCAGGGTGAGGGCTCCAGCCAGGACCCACACATTCCCTCCCAGAACCTGCATCTTCTCCGGCCCAGCTGAGCGCTCCCAGGGGGTCCCACGTGACCCCACCACCACTGCAGGCTCCCGTCAGTCCTGCAAATCCCACACCCAGCTGAGGGCTCCTGCCAGTTACCCCATGTTCCCGCCCTCAACCGGGGTCTCCCACGCATTCCCACCCCTGGCCCAAAGCTCCTGCCAGGGCCCCCGCATGCCAACCAGGACCCTGAGCCCCTCCTGCCCGTCACCTTGAGGCAGGGCCCGCCCTGGGCCCGCTGCAGCTGCGCCTCCAGCAGGGCCTTGGTGCCCTCCAGGCCGGTGAGCGTGGTCAGCAGCTCGTCCCGCTCGGCCTCCAGGCTCCGCACCTGCTTGCGGTACTGGTCCTTCTCGATGAGGCTCTGCGAGTACTGCAGCTGGATGTGGTCGCGGCTCTGGATGGCCTGGGAGGGCGAAGGCGCCACACTGACGCGGCCGGCCTGCCCTCCGACCCCGCGGATGGGGGTGGCAGCAGGAATAGCACTTCCTGTGTGCCGGCCCCGGGCTTAGTATCAGCTCATTTAATCAGCACGCTCACCCTCCCCGTAAGACCGCCTCGTTATTCTCATCTTATCAGTAAGGAAACCAAGGCTGCAGGGGCAGGGCTGGGATTCAAACCCAGGCCGAGTCCGGGCTCTGACCATTTCCCAAGAACAACTTAAAACTGGGAGACCTACTGTGTGCGGCCAGCTGAACTCATAGCATCCCCGCCGAGCGGAGGAGCCTGGGTCCAAACCCATCCCACTGCATCCAAAGCACTTTCCCCCACGAGGAAGCCCAGGGTCCCTGAGCGCTGGGCCCACGCCTGGACCTGCCACTGCCCCACTGCCCCACTGCCCCAGAGGGAGCTGGAGACAGAGGCCCGGTGGCCAGGAGCAACGGGGCGAAGGGCAAACCCCTGAGCCCCCCCAAACCACAGAACCAGAGTGTCTGGATGAAGCCTGAACCCGCCTCCTCGCCAAGCCTGCCAGGGGACCCCGAGGCCCATTCCAGCGTGCCGACGTCACCTCCTCCAGCGGGATTCAAACTCAGTCCGAGGACAGCACCTCCTGCCCTCCCCAGGCGTGGGAGCTCACTCAGGCCTGGGGGCCAGAGAGGCTGGCCTGGGCCTCAGACGGAGAGGGCCGTGGTGCCCGGGGCTTGGGAGCCAGAACTTTTGAGAATTTCTTCATCAGCAAATACCTGCAAGCAGCTCCCCTGCGTAGGTCTTGTTTTCGACTCGGAGAGAATAGCAATTCGAAGTCAAGAGTGCCAGGACCCACTCCCTAACTGTGCCAGGAGCTCCGGGGAGCCGGTGTGCGCAAGGGCAAGGCTGGCATACCTAGAGTGCTCAGGGCCCCACACCTGTGTCCTCCTGGCCCATATGCCCCTCTAGCCAATCAGTGCCCCGTGGAAGTCTCTCTTCCACCATTCTAGTCTAGCTCCCTCTGCTCCTCCTCGCCCGCCCGTCGCCCGGGCCAGGGCCCGGCACGCTGCGCGGGGCTCACCTGGTCCCGCTCCTTCTCAATCTCCTCCAGCTGGGCCAGCACGGTGGCCATGCGGTGCTTGTACAGGTCGCAGTCCTTCTGCAGCGTGCGGTGCTTCAGCCGCAGGTCCTCCATCTCCTGCAGGTACTGCGGGCGGCCGGGGGAGCAGCACAGGGTCACACCACAAGGCTGGTGACCAAGGAGAGCCAACCAGCAGGTGCCCAGCAGGTCCACAGAGAGAGGCCCGAGCCCCCAACACAAGCGCCCGTCCCATCTCCCCAGCTGGGCCTGGTTTCCCCTCCCGGGGCCTCAGCTACCCGATCTGTAAAATGGGACTAACCACCACCAACGACGACTCCCTCCCGACCAACCTGGGCCTCACGTCTGAACGGCAATCTGCTCCCTGGCCCTGCTCTGCTCTCCCACAGCCTCACCACCCTCCTCGACGTGAAGGGATTGATTTAGGGTGTGTGTGTGGCAGGTGGTGTATCTCCCCTGCTAGTTGACCCTCCACGGGGACAGAGACGTTTGTTCTGTTCCCTAATGTGTCTCAATAAATACTTGAGAATGAATGAATGAATGAATGGATGGATGGATGGATGGATGCAGTTCCTAGCACAGGGCCTGGCATGCCTGCAGGGAAGGTGGGCGCCGGTGAACGGGTGATGCCCCCCACCCTCTCCTCTCCAGGAGCCTCCTCAGCTGCGTGAGAAGGAAGGCGGGGGCAGGGCAGGGTGGGGGTGGTGCACGGGGGACGGTACCTTGTCCCGGAGCTCCTCGGCCCACTGCAGCTCCCCCTGCACCGTGTGCAGCTTCTGGCACAGCTCCTGCCTGCTGTCCTGCGCCTCCCGCCAGTCATGCTCCAGAATGTCCAAGAGGATGCGCTCCGAGCCCGGGGCCCCCGGACGGCTTGCCTCCTGGGGGTCGGAGGTCAGGGCTGCCTCAGCCTCTGGCCCAGGGGTGTCAGGGGAAGGGGGACCCACAGCCCTCAGCCCTCAGCCCCACCACACTAGCTCTGCCACCTGGGCCAAGGGTCTTGACCTCGCTGGACCTCGGTTTTCCAAATACAGGGTGGGCGTGGTCCGCCCGCCCTGCCCGCCCTCCAGGGGACATCTGGGGAGCAGATGAGCTGAGGGCGTGGGGCATGCGTGAACAAGTTCCCCCAGGATCGAGTTCCCAAATGAGAACTCGGCACACTGCCCCGCTCCGGCCTCCGCCAGCTGCCAGGGCAGCAGAGAGGCGGCTATTTCCAAGGCCTGTTCCTGCCCCTCCCACACGGGGTCTTTGTAGGGGCTGAGCCTGTCCCCAACAGGTAGACCATGGGCCCAAGACCCACCCCCAACCCAACACCCCAGCCCGGCATCCACAGCCCTATGAAGTACCCAGGAACCCTGGCTCCCACCCCCACTTCCTGTGTGGAGCCACGGCCAGGTGGCCAGTTCACCCGGCCACTGACCTGCCCCTGTCCTGCCACAGACCCCCAGCAAGCCCTGGGCCACCCCGACCTCAGGGGTCTCAACTTTCCAGACCCTTCTACAAATAATAAAAGCTGGGGACCCTCCCCCCACCCTAAACATGCTCACACACACAAAATCAGGTGCGCAGTGGCAAAGCCCCTTGAGACCCCATGGGGCCACCCACAGACCACAGGCTAAAGGCCAGAGAGAGCAGAAGGCTCAGCCAAGACAAGAGGCCAGCCAGGGTCCATCCGATCTCATCCACGGTGTAGACTCCTCATTCTCTCTCTCTCTCACACACACACACCCTCCTCCCCGTGGCCACCTTCGAACCTGCTGCCGACCCTCCTGCAGCTCCTTCAGGGACGCCGTCAGCCGCTGGTTCTCTGCTCGCAGCTCAGAGACCAGGTCCACACCGTCCGGCTCCTTCTCCTTCTCCCTCTCCTTCTCCTCGGCCCCGGGGGGTGGCCCCCTGGTCCTGCAGAGCAGGGCACACTCTCCCTCCAGCCGGCTCACCTTCAGCTGCAGCTGGTCCACCTGGGGAGCAGCACAGGGGTCAGCGGGGGTCCGGGGGGGGGCGCGGCCCAGGGGGGAAGGCCCGCTCCTCATTCCTGGGTGCCTCCCAGATGCCCAGAGGGGCCTGAGCAGGAGTCCTCCGGACTTGTCTGTGAAGGAGGGACCGGCGGGCAAACACGATGAGAAAGGAAGGGGAGGCAGGGCCAAGCCGCCCTCCCAGGGGCCTCTGCTCCGAGGACTTTTGGCCGAGGTGCTACACCGAGCTCCGCCTCCAACTCAGTGTGGCCTTTGGCAAGTCATGGGCTCTCTTTGTGCCTCAGTTTCCTCATCTCCCAGGGGAGAGGAGGAAGAGGATGGTTTTGAGGGTTCCCAGGTCCCCCTCCAGCAGATGGGACTGTTAGTTCATCCTCAACAAGAACCCCAAGCCTGGGGTCCAGGTTTCAGTTGTACTACTTCTGCCCTCTGTCCTCCTGAGCAAGTCACTTATCTCCTCTGGGCCTCAGTTTCTTCATCAGTGAAATGGGCCTGTTCATTCCTCCCCCCAGCCCCCCCCTCACACCCCCGTTCCATATATAACCTGCCTCCCAAAGTCATTGCAAGAATCAAACAAGACAGAAGGAGGGCCGAGACCTTTAAACGGTCAGAGGCTGGCTGCAGAGCGGCCAGGGGTGTGACCGTGGCTGTGTGCACAGCCTTAAAAAAATCCCAACCTGCCGCCACACGGTGTGTGCAGCCGGAGCTGGCCAGGGTGGTGGCTGGGCGGCCGTGGGGGGGGCGGCTGGCTGACGGCATAGGCACGATCGGTTTGCTGGATGATCACCGCCCTCAGCCGGAGGTATTTCCCAAATCCACGTGGGGTCCAAGGCTGCTGGGCAGTGGCAAGAGGAGCAGCGGGTGGCAGGCCACAAAACGAAGTCATTGTTGAAAAAAGGCACAATGACCTCTGGTGCCCATGTCTGGTGCCCTAGGAATGCCCTGGCTTCTCTCGGAAAATGGCTGGCAGCCCCTCACTTCCCAGAGCCGAGCACAGCCAACACACACACACACACACACACACACACATACTCAGACACACTCACACACCCAGACACACACACTCACACACACACTCACACACACTCACACACTCACACACACTCACACACACTCACCACACACACACACACTCACACTCACACACTCACTCACACTCACACACACTCACACACTCACACACACTCACACACTCACACACACTCACACATACAAACACACACTCACACACACTCACACACACTCACACTCACACACACACACTCTCACACACTCACACTCACACACACTCACACACACACACACTCACACACACAAACACACACACACACACTCACACACACTCTGACACAGACACATACTCACATACTCTCACACACACTCACACACACACACTCACACACACACACACTCACACACTCAGACACACACACACTCAGACACACACACACTCACACACACACACACACACTCAGACACACTTACACACACACTCTCACACACTCACACATAGACACACACTCACACACACATAGACACACACACACACACTCACACACACACAAACACACTCACACACACACACAGACACACACACACACAGACACCCTCACACACTCACACATTCACACACACACACACACTCACACACATAGACACACACACAGACACACACATAGACACACACTCACACACACACACACACACACACAGACACACGCAGACACACTCACACACACAGACACCCTCACACACTCACACACAAACACAGACACACACACTCACACATTCAGACACACACACACACACACACACACACACACGGTCTGAAGGCTGGGTCGGGCGTTTCTCCTCCCCCGCAGAAGGCTCGGGAAGAAATTCATGATTCTCACATTCCTTTCCCTCACAAAACACGCTTTGTAAACGTCGGAGGAAGACGGCTAGCTACAAGGGCAAGCTCGGTCACACCCTCTCCGGCAAACCGCAGCCGCGCAGCCAGGCCGCCCGCCTGACCTTTGGCCGGCAAGCTCCGGCCGTGAGCTCAGCGGGCAGGGCACCTGGCAGTCTCTGCAGAACGCCAGGAAACACGGATGCATTTAATCCCTGGGTACACACTCACTTAGCAGGAAATTACAGTGTGGGCTCCGTCAGCTTATGTGGCTGGGAAACGGCAGCTCATTAAATCTGCACCTTGTAAAGCCCAGCATTAAGTGGTAGCCGCCACACACAGGTCCACGGGGAGAGGAAACCCAAACTGCCAAAGACAGAACCGTCAGCCGCTCTAACTCATTTCCACCTGCAATGCCCTGGTTAATTTTTGTGGCCAAGAAAAGCCCCCAAAATTTACGCAAATTTACAGTAGCTACATTTAAAGAAGAACTTACCCATTAGTTGAATTTCACCCCTCACCTTCTTCCCCCTAAACTGGGAAAATGCAGCCATTCTCTGCCTAGTGTCAGATTCTCTCACCCCTACGTGGGCCTACTATGCGCACCTACAGCTAACCTGCAGATCCAGAGGCACCTCCAATGTCTTTTTTTTAATCCTCACCTGATTTTGAGAGAGAGAGAAACATCAATGGGAGAGAAAAACATCAGACCCACCTAGGTATGTGCCCTGACCGAGAGTCAAACCAGCAACCTCTTGGTGCACGAATGATGCTCCAAGCCATTCCAGCCACAGACTCTCCCAAGCCCGTGGCTCTCACACTGTCCTCAAACCCTTCCTCCAAGGACACTCACAGCAGGTCCCATGTCCACGTCAGAAAGAGCAGGCACGGATGAAGGTGGGGAACCCAGTTCTGACAGCCACCCACCCTGCCTTAGCAGTGCCAAGAGCAAGGTCAGAAATTCTCCATCGTGGCCCCTGGGAGAGTGCTCTAATCAATCTTTCTGTGTCTCCGTTTCCTCCTCCGTAAATGGGGGCAGTAACAGTGCCGCCACCTTGTCCCAACAGAGATGCCAGTCAGTGCACAGCAAGCAGTGAGGACCGCGCCCGGGCGCAGGAGGTGCCATTTCATTGTCATCCTTCTCCGTGACCTCCCGCCTCCAGCACGGTGAGGAAACTGAGGCACAGAGAGGAAAGCCTCGCCCAGGCCACTCTTCACTCAATCTGCAGCCAGTCTCTGGGCCTCAGATAGCCCTACCTCATGGCAAACACCGAGCAATGCAGAGAACAGCCTCCTGGTCACCCCACTCCACGCATCTGCCTCCCACACCCCCGATCGGGCCTGGCAGTCTAGGCCCTTCAACCTGTGGCCTCAGCACCCCCAATCAGGACTCATTTCCCCGAACCTCAACATGCTGGTGTGCACAGCCACAGGCACCCACACAGCCTCCAACAGGCACCTGTCACCTCCTGCAATGCTGCAGCCTTAGCGGAGGCTCATGGCTCTTCCAACCCCAGGGTCAGCACCCCCACACACACATACACAGGCAGCCTCCCACGGTATTGCTGGAGAGCCTACTGTGTGCCGCTGGCACCGTTAAATCCTTTAAACAGCCCTGGCCCATGTTGCTAGAAGGTCAGAGCATCCGCTCACACACTGGAGGGTCTCAGGTTTGATTCCCAGCCAGGGGCACATGCCCGGCTTGCAGGTTGGATCCCCAGCCCTGGTGGGGGAGCATGTGAGAGGCAACCAATCGATGTGTCTCTCTCACACCGATGTTTCTCCGTTTTTCTTCCCTCTCTTCCTTCTCTCTCCCCTCCCTCCCTCTCTTCCACTCGCTCCGGGAAAAGAAAAAAAAAAAGGTCAATAAGAAAAAATACCCTCAGGTGGGAATTAAGAATAAAATCCCTGAAACAATCCCCTGAGGCAGTAACATTCCAGCTGCATCCCCACGCAGAGAGCCAATAGGAAGCCAAGAAGCGAGACTGGGTGTCGCCACCTGTGAAAGGCGGGGCCTCGCTCACCGCTGAAGAGCCAGGTGAGCCTTCACCTGGGCAAGACCAGGCAGAACGGCACCACGGGGCAAGGCCAGCGCTGGTGCCAGGCAGACCTGGTTCCCATCCAGGTTCCATTCCCAGCTCTGTGAGGAGCAAGTCCCTTCCCAATCCAAGCCCAGTGTCTAGGTTTCAAGATGAGAACCCAGTGCATGGCACCTCCATGGGTACGTGTGACATGATGCGTGTAACCAGCATGGCACTCAGAAGCAAATAATAATAATAATAATATAGAAATGACTAATGACAATACAGGGTTTGAGCACTAACTCTGCGCAGGCACTGTACCTATATCTTAACGGATACTCCCTTGAAACCCAAATTTTCTCCACCTCAGCACTCGCTGACGTTTTGGGTTAAGTCATTCTTGGTTTTGGGGGGCTGCCCTGTGCTCGGTAGGATGTTTATCAGCAACTCCGGCCTCTACCCACTGAATGCCAACAGAACACACCTCGCTGTAATGACCAAAAAGGTCTCCTGATGTGGCCATTGTTTCTGGGGGGCAACACTGTCCCCAGCTGAGAGCCACAGCCCTAACTCAATGAAATCAGTGCCATCGACACCCCCCTATTACAGATGAGAAAACTGAGGCCCGGGGTCGTGGAGGGACTTGCCCACAGTCCAACAGCTGGCCGATAGTGGCTCTGGGACCCGAGCTGGCTACCACACCACCATCCGTTTTCATAAAGATCACCCCTGTCCACCCCCCGGGCCTACCGCCAGCTGCAAGTCGCGGCTGCGCAGGACGGCGGAGTTCTTCTCCTCGCTGAGCTGGGCCAGGCGCATGGCGATCATGTAGTTCTCATCCTTGAGCCGCAGCAGCTCCAGGCTGCCCACCTCCCAGTCCTCCCGCAGCCGCTGGCAGCGCTCCTGCGCCTGCTGCTGCTCCTGCAGCCGCTGCTCCAGGCCCGCCCGCTCCTCCTCCAGCAGCCGGCCTCGAGCCTGCAGCTGCTGCTCCCGCTGCAGCTGGCTCTTCCGAGCCTCCCGCAGCCGCCGCACCTCCGTCATCAGGAACTGGGTCAGGCCCTCGGGGCCCTCCTCGTCTGCAGGACACGGTGAGGGGGAGAAAGCCACGTCAGGCGAATAAAACCCACAGGGACAGCAAATGGCCCAGAAAAACCCAAGCCACAAAAACACGAGAAGAAAACTCGGGACTATGCAGGGTGTCTCAAAAAAGAAAGGAAAAAAAAAGGTATACACACTTTAATAGCTGATAGCTCAATTTGGAAAATGAAGTGTATTTTAATAAAACACCGCCTGTATAATTATTCAAAGTGTATATACATTTTGGGGGGGACACCCTATGTTTTTATAATTTAGGGGTAAGGAAGGCCTTCCTACATAAGACACAAAATCAGAAGCTATAAAAGAAAAGAGAGACTAATCCATATACAAATGTTAACCTTTCAGAATGATGAAAGATGTTAACAAAGTTAAAAAAAAAAAAAAAAAGAAAAAAAAACAAGCAACAGAGCAAAAGGAAAATATAAGAATTCAGAGCCATGATATATAAAGAGCTTTTACAAATCAATTAAAAAAAGGGGGCAAACAAACAAATAAAAATAAGGGTAAAAACTACCAGTAGGTAAGTCCCAAAACCAAAGTGACCAATAAACAGGCCCTACCTCACCAGCTATGATAATAAATAGCCACTAACATTTAACTTTATTCTTTGGGCTAGATACATATGTTGATTTACTTAATCCTCATGACAACACTTAAGAAAGGTACTATTTAGTGACCCTACCCTGAAGACAGAGAAACTGAGGCACAGAAAGGTCATGTCCTTTGCCCAAGGTTTACTAATTCGTAACCTATGAATTATCTCTCCAAATGAAGTACAAACTTAAAAACAATAACATTATTTTTGACGAATCAAACTGGCAAAAACGTTTTTACATTCCCAGGATGCATGAGGGCACAGCAGAAAGGACACCCACTCACTGCTGCTGGGATGCACCTTGATTTCACATTGAAAATACACACACATTGAGAAACCTCACTTCTCAGACCCCTCCTCCTGAGATACGCTCTTCCACAAAGATGCACATGGAAGGCTGTCCCAGCATTGTTTGTAAAACTGGAAAGAGCCTAGATGTCCGTCAACAGGGGGCCAGGTAAGTGGCTTGTGGCAAGCATCTATGCAGTCACTTAAAACCAGTGTAACGGATGTGGGGGAAAACACGAAAATCAATTGTTCTGAGAAAAAGCAAAATCAGAGCAGCACGTATAGGATGATCCGTGTGTGTGTGTGTGTGTGTGTGTGTGTGTGTGTGAATGCAAAGAAAGGGGAGACTCTCGGAAATGTTAGCAGCAGAGGAGAGCTAAAGGAAGAAGGAAAGGTCTTTCCTTTTAATTCTAAAGTCACCTGGACTGTTGGAACTTCTTGCGTAAGAAACTGTACACCCATGGATGTCTGACACATACATGCCTGCAGTCAGTTTTAGGGGCCTGCGTTCTGAACTCTTGACTAAGGGGATTAGAATCCCAGCCCCACACTCAGCCTGCTCCAGCAAACCTCTTCCGTCTCTCTGTGCCTCAGTCTCCCGATCTGTTCAACAGGGTTCACGGGAGGGCCTCGCTGACAGGGACCAGGCAGGGGAGCCCTGTGAGGGTGCGGGACCCACTCACCCAGGATCATGGAGCAGCGCTGGGCGGGCTCCTGGCCGGTGAGCAGGGTGAAGTGCTCGGGGTAGTAGAACTCCAGGGCTTCCAGGAAGGCTTCGTAGCCCCGCTTCCCGCGGCAGCGCAGGATGTCCATGAGGCGCCCTGGGAAGCGGCAGGAGGGTCCCAGGGTTCAAGGCGAGGGCTTCCCCCAGCGCCCAGCCAGTCCCCCCACAGGGTTACAGGCCCACATTCCCCGCATTTTTGAGACATGGATACACACAGGGCCTGTCTCAACTCATCACGGGGAGATCCCCCTGTCTGCCACAGCCAGGAGAGCCAGGAGAGCCAGGAGCCCCACCCCCAACCCCCATAGCACCTGAGCTTCCATAGGGCTCCCCTCCCGCCTGCCCTCTCC